ATACCCTCAACTCTTGGCATGCCAACTATACCACTAGCTCTCTTATCATATAACATGGGCATTATCATTTATAACAGTCAATTTACTTATTCATATCCTTTCTCTTATGAACATATATCTTTTCGTTTCAGTCGCGTACCAAATGTTCGTGTAATCATTGATCTTATAATCACATGTTCATTCTCTTCTATCACATACCATATGTGTGTGTAAACATATATCTCATAAACATGTATTTATGAATCTCATATCATATCACATATTCACATAAACATATAATTCACATATTACATGTACCTTTTCTCATATATCTCATATCATATAATTTATGCTCTGACCTCTTATGTTCACATGACATAATGCATACCAATCATATTCACACATGTTTTTACTCATGAATTCATACATGATAAAAATCATGTCATTCACATATTTAAATTTATTACTTCATGTACTATAATTATAGGAAATAACACTTCTCTGTGTTCATATGACATGTAAATCATTGTCATATCTTGTTCTCATATGTTTCCCATACATCACATATATCACATATTCATATAGGCTCACGATTTTTATCACCTATCATGTCATTTCACATATACACTTTTATTACATTAAAAGATGGACATGTAGTCTTATGTGACCTATCAATACTATCTGTTCATATAATCTCCTTTTACCTTATAAGTAAATACTACTTATTTTATCCCACATTTCTATTTATTCTCCAAATTATTTATATCAATTCACAGGGTTTATTACACAACTTATATCACCTTTTTATGTATTACAGATATCTTGTCGCATATCTTATATCTTGTCATCATATCATTACATACAAAAACATGTCAACACATATAATCAAGCATACATACATTTCATGTCATTCACATACTTATAATCAAGACTTCATGCACTATAACTATAGGAAATAGACTTATCACAAGTCCAATTTCCATATAATTCTATAAAATAAGATGCACTCACCTTAGCCTTGCTTTGATTCGATTATAATCCTTTGATTATTCCGGAACTTGTTTAGGCTCAATATCTACATAAATATATCATTTCAAAACAACTATCAGAAGCCTAAACTTTAACTTTATGTTAATAACTTAAACCGGTTTAATGAATCAATTCTATATTTTCATTTAGGGGGGAATCGATACCCCCCAGGGGAATCGATACCCCCTGAACATACTGGAATTTTTCGTTCATGAGGGGGAATCGATTCCAATTCATAGGGTATCGGTTCCCTCTACCCAGAAATTATATTTTAAGCTCGGAAATCATCAATTTTTCATTCAATTCTTCTATTTTAAACCCCTACCATGTCATTAAACTCAACTACCATTACTTAAACTAACTTATATCCATGAAAATCATCTATAACTTCAAAATCCTATCCTTCATATGAAATTCAAGAATCATACTTAATTTTCCATATGTTCTAAATACAATTCTAACACTTCTATCTTCTTATTCTCATAGAGGACAAGTCAAATTCAACTTAAAATTCAACTTATCAACTCTATTCCATGATTCCATATAAAAACTCGTTTTCTTAAATCTCTTATAACTTCTTCATATTTTGATTTTAAGATAACTTAAGCTTTCCTTAAGCTTAGTTATCCTCTAAGGATCAAAACTCATGCTTAAAATCAACAAACAATCAAGAAATTAGAGAACTCACCTTTGCTTTGAGTTTTTCACGTGGAGAAGAGAAAATGAAGAAGAAAAGAGAGAAGAGATTTCTGGAAAATCTCCCATCCTTATCCATATATATATAACATTATTTAATTCATCTCTTGGTCAAATGATCCTTTTGCCCTTTAATACCTTTTATAATTACTAACATCTTTTAGAATTTATTTCCAGATAAATCATTGAACTAACCCATTCTTCTACTTTAATCACCAAATTCTGAAACTTTACAATTAATTCACTAACCCATAGTTTGGGATGTTACAGTTGTCAGTATTAAAGTGTGAGTATTCTTAAAATGTATCGATTCAAATGTTGACAAGTATCGCAATGCTGAGATTTGTTCAGTTCGAATTGACCTGATATCCTGATAAGTTGACATTAATCTTGAAATCCATAAATCATCATTTCACCTATATTGGATTAAGTTACTAAGAATCCACTAGAAATCAAAGTGTCTGAAATACTTCTGATGACCTAAATAATGGAATCGCTCTAGTTATATCTAAAATTTATTCTGATGTAAAGGTTCCTAAATACCTTTCTGATACACCTGAAATCCTAAATGGTCCTGAAACATAAATTCCTGAATGTCTGATTATATTCGTTTTTAATTTAACCCTTTTAATAGGGACCTCGATCATGAAATTCGATCAATTTTGTGTAAGTTCATATTTTCTATTCCTGATAATTTCCAAGCCCTTTCGAAAAATATCTGAATCCTTTAGTGTGTTCCATATTAACAATAATGTTTTCTATGATTTATATAAAGTACAATTTTTGATATATGGTTTCTGATTTCTATCACAAGGTACAATTAGCTCATGATTTCTGATATTACTGTTTGCTACCTGATTTGTTTTATTGTGGTACTATCTGGGTAAGTGTCTGGAGTCTCTTAGGTTCAATTAGTTGGTAAATCATTTTTGTTCTGATCGTTCATATTGGACTCATAGATCCTAGGGATCTAGTGTAAGTCTTTATGGATGCATGTTCTGGGGTACTGCATTTGATGTACGGTTGGAGTGAAACTCTATATTTTAAATAAAAACCCAACTTTTGATTTATGTTTTATGATATTACTGGTTCTATATGAAACTGTTTTATTGAGATATTGATTGGGTAGGATTCTGAAGTCTCTTAGGTTCAGCTAGCTGGTAAATCCTTTATGTTCTGATCATTCATATTGGATTCCTAGATCCTAAAGGTACAGGGTAAGTTATTATGGATAATGTCATGGAGAATCTGAATTTCACATGGAGTATTCGGATGGAGGGTACCACAATGATTTTAAAAAAATATGTTTTACTGAAATAATTAATACTATTTTTAAATTATCATTACATCTTATTTTGGTTTTGAGAGAACACACTAGACGTCTGCTTCAATCTCTTGAATCTGGTCTTTTGAACGTTTCCTCTGAACTATAAGCTTCTTGTCTGTTACCTGAAGAAATATCAGTGGAACCTCAGTTCATCTCGAAAATTTGTAGATGCATGAATCAATAAGAAATTTTTTATTCTTGTCTTGTCGTTTATCTGCTTGTCCTTTAGCATCGTCTGGTAGTTCTGTATTACTGAGCTTCCTAAAGCTCACTCTTTCACTTACCATTTCAAGTTAACGAGTAGATAATGTACAATTATCAACATCAACATTTGGAGTTCCTTCGACGTTATTGGCGAGTACGGTACCTGTATAATTAGGAGGCATGTAGGTCACATTTGATTTTTATACTGAGTTTGAATCTTGTATGATTTTAATTCTGTTTGTAATATATGAATGGTTTTTTGAATTTGTATTTTATTTATAAAATGTTTTATGATTTTACATTTTTTAACAAAAAAATTAATTTTTCCTGGATTTTTTTATGTGGGTCGCTCCGGTGATCCTAATGTGACACCTCGGATCGGATCGGGTCACCCGTATCGGTATGAGGGTGTTATATATATAGTTTACTTTTTGTTTTTTATTTCTAATTTAGTTGTTATGACCTTACTGGGTTATGATTTTCTTGTTTATTGGTTTAGTTCAAATACTCTTATAAGTTGTGAAATTTATGAGAAAGTTTTATCCTTGATAGTGTAAGTTTAAGTGTTTGCTAGATTAAAGTAGGTTTCAATAATAATTTTTGAATTAATCATTGGTATTTGATCTATTGATCGATTAATCCAGATCGAGTATTGTAGAGGCGAGGGCCTTCCCAACACAGTTTGCTCCATTTGTAAACATAGGATTCAAATATCTGGCATTGTTGAAGGGATCTAATGCCTCACCCCACTAGACCATCTTGTTGTTGATTAAGTTTGAAGAATTATTAATATATTTTTTTTTGCTTGTTATGGATCATTTCCCAGACAAATCCTTGATTCACATCAAATGGAAAACACTCTGAAAGGAATTTGGGGTTGATAGGTTGGTCCGTGATGAGATGGATGTTTAATTTAATTATTAAAATAATTATAATTTATTTTTGAAAATAAAGTAATTATAACTTAAAAATTATAATATAATAATATTATAAATAAAATATATTAATTTTGTTATGATTTAAATTTAGATTTATGGAGCTATCTTCGTTGGTAGAAAATAATGTTTTTTTAGAGGTTTGAGTTCAAATGATTTTGTCTATAGGGTAAATATTATCAATGATTAAAAGATATTATTTTAAATATATATTATATTATTATCACCACATAAAAAATAATTTAAATTTACAAGGTCATTATCTCTTAAGAAATATTAATGATAAATTTATTATTATGAGTCAACTTTAAAGAGAATTAAAGGGTTCTATATTAAATTTCTAAAATTTAATGTATTTTTTGATAAAATAAATATTAAATTTGTATTGAAAGATTGAAAATAAATGAATTGAAAATTTTAGACTAATGTTTATATTTAGAAATTAAATCAATATTTTTTCTAAAATTTGATATTTATTTAATATAATTAACATAATATTTTATTTAATATTTAGAGATCAAATTAAAAATGAACTCATAATTATTAAATAGTTTTGATAATAAAAGAGAATATTATTTTTAAAAAAAGATTCAAATATAAATAATTGTACAAAATATATATGTATTATTAATAGTTAAAAAAAATATTCTGTTAATAAAAATAAAACTCAATAATTAAAATAAAATAAATTAATAATATAAATGATTAAAATATAATATTTATAAAATTAATGACAAAAAATAAAATTGGTTGGTTTACCCCGAAACAATGAGTCCAATGAGTTCTCATAATCTTATTTGCCTTCCAACGTCTACTTATTCTATCCTTCAAACAAAATTGGGTCCCAAAACCCTAAAAATTAAAAACCTTCAACCATCTTCTCATGTTGCTTTGATATATACATTGGATTTCTTCGATACTTTCTAATTCAAATGCTTTGCTGCTTATAATGCAAAATCCAAAGCTCAAATGTTTGCTTTTGAGATTCAATTTCACGAACGCTAGAACCTCCACCTTGTTTGATTCACTCCCTTTCATACACCCAAATTCTTCTTCTAGGTTTTATCTCCCTGTACGACGCCATTTTTGCGGGTACGCCGTAGAGCAGTTCTCAGACGATGAATACGAGTGCGATTTTGAGAGCCATAAGGTTTTCTTCCATTTTTCTTTTTTTCCCCTCTACTTCTTGAATTGTGTCTTTTTTCACTTAATTTATATGGAAATTGAAAATAGCTTGTTTGCATGCTAATTGATAGCTATGATTGCTATTTATTGATGTTATTAGGCGTCATCTTCGGTTGCCAACATTGATGAGTGGAAATGGAAACTCAGCATGCTGTTGCGTAATGAAAACGACCAAGAAATTGTATCTAGAGATAAAAGAGATAGGAGAGATTATGAACAAATTTCCAACCTTGCTAAAAGGATGGGACTTTACAGGTATATACCGCCTCTACTGCTTAGAACAATATTTGATGTATTTGGAAGTATAATTTTGAATATTTATATGTGCGTGTTATGATAATGATGGGATTTCTGCCTGATTATTTGGGTTTATTTCCCGTCTTGTTTGTACATCAGTGAAATGTATGGAAAAGTGGTTGTTGCTAGCAAAGTTCCACTTCCTAACTATAGGCCAGATTTGGATGATAAACGGCCACAACGGGAGGTAAAAAACTCAGGAGTGCTTGTCAAGTTTTCTAGTTCATTGAAGCTTAAAAGTAATTCTTGCCAGAAAGGAGAACCAAATTTCTGATGGCTAATTTTTCAGGTTGTTGTACCATTAGGCTTGCAGAGGAGAGTTGAGGGTTTATTGCAAGAGTATCTCGATCGACTGCAGTTAAATTCTGGGAAGGTCAGAGAGAACTCAGATGATGCTAATTCCCAGGCAGAATATGCTAACTCAGATGAGAATCCAGATTCATTCCTGGATAATTCTGTTATGGAAAAGGTTCTTCAAAGAAGGAGTTTGCGGCTGCGTAACATGCAAAGAGCTTGGCAGGTATGACATTTTTTAAATTTCTTCTTCCTTTGTGCAGCTGCAAGAGTTTTGGGGGTATGACTGTATTAACTTCTTCTCCTTTAATGCTTATGATTTGTTGTCAATTTTACTTCGTTACTCGGGCAACATTTTTGACATTCATTTTCTTGCCTTTTTTTCTTTCTTTCTATGATATGCTTGCATGGTTTTCTACCTTTTTCCTTTGTATAAAAGCATATTCAGTTTTCTTTTTTTGACCCGTGTAAGTGTATTTTTTTGTATATGAAGCCCCCCCAAAAGAAAAAAAATTCAAGTTTTTTCTGTCCATGTGATGTTGTATTTATCAGTAAACTGAATATGTAATCAAGTATTAATGGCATAGTATTGATCTTCATGGTTCTATTGCAAGTGGTTATTTGACGAGTACAATAGTAATCCTATGTTTCCTTCTCATTGATCTTCCTATTAATGATTTTCTATCGGTCTCCCCTCATATTATTGCTCATTGAGTGCTTATTTGCAAATTTAATATCATTATTTGCATCTCTATTTTTCTGTTTTTCTGGTGGATGGTAAATTATAGCCTTGCCCTTGCAAATTACATTCATGTTTAGAGCAAGATTGCGAGCTAACCTATTTGTTTTCCATTACTCTTTTATCTTTTACGTAGTTCATAATAACACAAAATGAACCTGCTTAATATATTATTTGCTATTTATCATTGTAGGCTAAAGATGGGTTGCATGTGATTAGTGGGTATAACTATGTTAGATGAGTGGGGTTATTATACAAGTTCTCTTTTGTTGATCTCCAACTAAGGATCAAATCAAATGTATGTCAATTTGTGCTGAAGTGGAATAGTCCAAATCAGATGCAATTATCTGCATGTTGCTTTCAAGTTTTCTCGGGTTTGCCTTGTTGCTAAATCTCAAGTAACATGGAATTGACTTCAAGCTGAGAATTTCTGGGTGCCACCTCTAGGTTCATATTATTCTTTTCTGAGTCAATTACACGCCTAGTTGTTTTTTATTGCTTCCTCTAAAAAGAGCTCCTTTGTTTTCTTTTGGGTGTTGTTCGTGCATTTTTTTTTTGTAAATTGCAAGCACTTACATTGTATCACTCACTTGCTGAAAAGTGGTGAAACGTGAAACAAATCCACCTCATGAGTCTTTTTTATCAAAGTTGTCCTTACCATTTTCAGGAATCTCCTGAAGGCAAGAAGATGATGGAATTTCGTAAATCTCTGCCTGCATTCAAGGAAAAGGAAAGGCTTCTTCAAGCAATTGCACGTAATCAGGTTTGAGCATGTGCTCATTTTTTTTTTATAGAAGTTGGAGGTCTCATTAAAAACTCCCTTCGTATTCGTCCACATACTAAGAAGTATGTTAACGAACATAGGAAGAAAGAAAAGAGTACCTCATATTTCATTGAATAAAACGCCTCATTACATATGAAAACACGAAATACCCTCAAACGAGGATAAACACCATTACAAAAAACATAATCACCTAAAGCTCTCACCTTCTCGACCACAAAAATCAAGAGGCAATCACCCTATACCTAAGATAAACCTCCATCAATAGGAAAACAACCCAACATTTAATGACATAACATACATAAAAACAACACATAAAACCATTAAACCAAAAACATCCGCCTTTGAAGGGAACTCCACAAAAATACCAACATGTATCAAAATCACAAAAAAAATCAGTTCGATAAATTATCTTTAATGAACCAAAACCACACTTCCCTTCAATCAATGTTTCCTTGCCACTAAATTCAGAACTCTTTTCTTTGTCTTGCATTTCTTCGCCACACGATTAGTTCTTAATTTCGCAGGGATAGGGGGCACCACTGGGGTATATTCCTTTAATTGAAATGTGTCAGTAGATGAACCATGAGAAGTAATGAGACCCATCATAAGAGCATCTTCCGAGGCCCTGAGGCTAACACCATCAGAATGATCAACTGATTTATTAGCTAGATGCTCCACAATATTTAATTTTGAATGATCCACAACCTCCATTGTGTGCAACCCCAATTTGTTACTCGGTTTCTCATCGCTTTTGACACTCTTTATGAGTGAAACCTTTTCTAAGTGGGGACCTTCAATTGCAACATCTTCGACGGGGAAATTTAAATCTGAGGATGACACTGACAATCCTGACAGAGAATTCTCCAACGTTGCCCCGAGAAAACAATTCAAATCTGGAGAATCATCGACTTCCTCAGGGATCCAAGAGTTTGGTTTGAAAGAAGGCTTAACTTCATGCACCATGATTTCAAAAGAATTAGAACCGACCTTCAAACTCAAGGACTCATCAATCCTTACTTTAGTCTCTGTGAGGATTTGAAGTTTTGCACGATCAAAAGATGAAGGAAACTGAGAGCTTTCATCAATTGATACTAATTTGCCCCACCTAGCCGCAATGTTCTTGAAAGTACCCCAATTCCATGGGTGAAAAGGAATCCCTTCGCAAACTACCCATACTCGACGACATTCTACCACTAGATTCTCTGACCAAACTTCAACTCTAGAAAACCACCCTGCAAGAGTCTCTGATTGTTCATTCTTAACCCTTCTCAACGTATCAGAATCCTCGAATATCATAAGAACTACATTCCCAGCAGCTCTCATTAACGAGAAACCGTTGAGTCCTTTGTCTTGCATTTGGCTAGCAAGATCACTGATTTTGGTATAGTTCTTGCACCACCCCATTAGGCAGTTATCCAAAACTTGAAGTTTAGCTTCGTCAACAACACCATTTACTGTATAGAGATTATTTCTTGTAACATTTTCTCTCTCGGGCTTTAGGTGGACAACTGGCGAAGACTTTCTCCAAAAAGAATGTCTTGTGTTGTATTTAGAAAAAGAGACTCCAATTTTACTACCATCAATGCGAGCGCCATTCATCTTTGAGATCACTCTCCGGGCTTCTCCAATTGTAGCAAAGCGAATGAAACCGAAACGTACCCCCTTTGAATTTCTTTTAGTTGGAATGAAGGCGTCAATAACCTGACCGTATGGGCAAAATAACGATCCAAACCGCTTCCAATGGATATTCTCTGGTAAATTATCAATGTATAACGTAAAGCAGCCAGTTCTAAACCCATTGTTGATTCTTGGATAATCTTTCTTCCTCCAGTAGTTAAAAACGTGAGAATCCTGAGGAAGGATTTCCGCCTCAGAAATCTGCGCAATGGCCCCTTCCACACTCCTTGCTTCAACCAATGAATCATTCCTATTCTTGTTTGTCACCAACACCATCCTCTCATATTCTTCCGCTCCCACTGTACTACTCAGCTTCTTCCTCGCCTCCTCTGATTTATGCACAGTCTTTGTCTGCTGCCCATCTCTCTGATTTTGATGCTCCGCTTCAGTCACCTTCGACAGTATAAAATCCACCCGTTTCGTCTTAATATCTGGTTTTTTCAAAGGATTTACGTTCTCCTTTTCCTCTATCTCGGACTGACGACTATTCTTAGTCTGACGAGCTGAGGTTTCAGCCCGTTTCTCTCTTGCTTCATCGCGATTCTTGAACGTCATTTTGAATGCAGAGGCTTCCGAACTGTTTAATTTTGAACCAAAAAAACCAGAGATGAAAAGGTTTATGACAACGTGCGTGAAAACCCAGAACCAACAACAGCGTTCTGAAAATAGAGCTCCTGAACAGTGACGGAATTTTTGCACAGTAAAATTCCGGTGAACGGCAGTGGGTGTTCACAGTTTAATACTTGGGTTTTTGTCACGAGCTTCCGGCGTGCACAGCTGGAACGAACTTTGAAGACTGCTGATGGAAAAATCGGCGAAGAAAGGCGTTTAGATTTGCTCCGATTGAAGGGGAATCAATCGAAATAAACCAGGAAAAAGGAAACTCTATGGATAGACGATGATCCTTAAGAAAAAAGGCGTCAAAAGGAGGTCGATGTGCGGCGGCGGACGGTGGTCGGAGTACGGAGGACGGCGGACGGAAAGCGACGGACGGTGGATGGCAAGCGACGGACGACGATGGAGAAGGCTGTTAAACATCACTCATATTCTCTCTCTCCCTCTGCCCCTAGAATTTTGAAATTTGAAATCTCCTAGGGCATGTGCTCATTTTCAATTAAGCATATCCAATGAAACAGGCAACACTCTTGCTGAGAGATGTCCTTGTTTTCTTTTCTGTCTTGAGTAGTTTCTGGTTTTAATTTCTTTGCATTTGTTTGGTTTGGCCCTCTTTAACCATCTGATTTATTATACAGAGTTCTCTCTCTCTCTCTCTGTGTGTGTGTGTGTGTGTGTGTGTTGATTGTATTATTAGTAGTATTATAACATCTACTGTTTTCTGTACCAATATTTTAAAAATATTTCGGCTAGTTTTCTGCTTGACCTCTGGCAGTAATACATGCTTTCTTGGGCTGTTTGGATTTCATATTTTATGACTTTGTATTTCTGTTGAGCCTGTATGAAATGAACTGACCGTTTTTACTCCACAACTCCAAAATTTTGCTTATCTCAAACTTTTCCTTGTTGCATCAAAATGTTAGCAACTATGCCATGGTGCAGGCCATACCCTAGTACTTTATTAATATTGATTCTGACTTGTATTAGCAAGTTGATATGTATTGGAAATTGAATCCACTTATTCATCAGGAGTCTATGAAACAATAAGAAACTTGAATATAGTAGGATATAATCTCATGAGAATCAAAGGGAGAAGTGTCACCTGGTAAGAACCTTTATCGATGTTTGTGTCTATTTTGCTGGTTAGAGAACAATTTGGGAATGACTGTTGCATATATTATTTTTTCTTCTTGGTTATTGGTTGTAATTTTTCTAGCATTTTCTTTTCTTTTATTCTAATACATCATTAAATACACGCAAGTTACCTTTCCTTGTGTGGTAATCAGAATTGCAACTAACAGATTCCGTGCTGCTTCTTATAGTTTGATACATCTTTAATATTTAACAGACTATTGATGAATTTAGAACATGTATGGTGTATAAATGATTACTCTATTCGACCCTGCATCAAAATTTCTAAAATATCAGTGCATTCCGATTTTCTTTGGAGTTGATTTATGCCTGTGCTTCTAGTAACATTTTTAATTGTTTGCTACAATTGTAGGTCATAGTGATATCAGGGAGACTGGATGTGGCAAGACCACTCAACTTCCACAATACATATTGGAGTCAGAAATAGAAACTGGTCGTGGAGCATTCTGTAGCATAATTTGCACACAACCTCGAAGAATATCTGCTATGGCAGTTGCAGAAAGAGTGTCTGCAGAAAGAGGAGAGCCACTTGGGGAAACGGTAAGTCTAGTCTTTTTTTTAATATGCAAGTACATTTGGAAAATACTATAAAATTCTTTGCTCACATTAATTTTAATTTTGAAAGCTGCTTTATTTTTGCTTCAGTACTTCAATAGATATTTTTTTGGTAGGTTGGTTATAAAGTTCGATTAGAGGGTATGAAAGGGAAAAATACCCATTTGCTCTTCTGTACCAGTGGTATTTTACTCCGGCGGCTGCTGAGTGACCGGAACTTGAATGGTATAACTCATGTTTTTGTTGATGAAATACATGAGCGAGGAATGAATGAAGGTGCAATCCTACGAAACTCCATTTTATATCTTGAGGCTCTTGAAAAGCAGTCTAATGTGATTCTTGATATTTATATGTTTTTTGGCATTTTTGTGTTCCAGATTTCCTACTTATTGTGTTGAAGGATCTTCTTCCACGTCGTCGAGATTTGAGATTAATTTTAATGAGTGCTACTTTGAATGCTGAGCTTTTCTCCAATTATTTTAGCGGGGCACCTAAAATTCACATTCCGGTAAGTTAGAAGTTGAGTTTACTCTTTCTGGTGTCTCTATTAATATGCTCGCAGAATATGCGATCTGGGGGTGTCATGTATGATGTATCTGAATAATAATTAGTTTTGTTTTATCATATATATCATATCTATTTCAGTTGGAAATAAGAGTTTAGGCATTCTTGGGTCTATTTTCAAATTGTTATACATGGTTTTTTTGGGCTGGATTAATTGTGCTCTGATGGGATTTAATGAGACCATTTTACCCTAATTCTTCTTTCTGCAAGTCTAATTTCATTAATATATGCTCAGGGTTTTACGTATCCAGTCCAGGCACATTTCCTGGAAGATGTGTTGGAACTTACTGGATATAAGTTAACTTCTTTCAATCAAATTGATGATTATGGCCAAGAGAAAATGTGGAAAATGCAGAGGCAACTTGCTCCACGGAAAAGGAAAAACCAGATTACTGCTCTTGTAGAGGTAATGTTTGGAATAGTTCAAATTAATTTGCTGCTGGTAAAATATTGTTTGCTTTTAACTTTTAAGCAATCCAAAATTTGTAGGATTGTTGACATCTGTCCCATTGATTAATAATTTTTTTTTTGTGAAAATTGAATCTCTTGGTGATTGTTAGAAACCGCCATCTTGATTTCAATGTCAAAAGGGATATATCGAGATATGTTTGTGGATTGAGAACCTAATCTGATATCATGAAGAAAATAAGTATTTTTGGTAAAGAGAATTCTGATTTTATTCTCTTAATTTTTCTGATTAAAGACGTACAAGAAGCCTATTAATATAGATTGAGTACATAGAGACCTACTAGATCTAAAACTTATCTGTTAGTCCTCTTTTTTTTTTTTTTACTTTAGTTAGATAAGACTTTTCACAGTTTTTTTGATATAAGATTAGGCCTCATTAAAAACCCCCTTTTTCAACCTCCATGTTATAAAAGTAACATGAAGGACAAGGAAAGGAGGAAAAGAGTGCCTAGAATTTATTAGATGAAACAATAGTACAACAAAGGCAGGCCATAAACATCTGCTAACACCACCATAAATTACATAAAACTTAAACGCAACAGCTAAACATAGGAAATAAAATTTTCTACTCCTCAATACAAGCAGACAGAAACCATTACATCACCCTATCCCATCTTTAGCTAATTTGTCAGCTTCCCAATTTGCAGCCCTCAAAATATGCTTGATAATGATATCCTTCCTTGCCATAAGAGAGACTATCTCCTTCACCAATACTTGAAACATAGGAGTGCATAAACCCGGATTCTTGATCCACTTTAGGGCATTGCTTGAATCTGATTCAAGAATAAACCTCCTATTAGGAACAAAACTTAAATCTTCTAGAAGAAATAACCCCTCTTAATCGCCAATAATTCTGCCAAGATAGGAGGACCACCCCCAACTCTTTCTGAAAACCATTGAAGCAACACTCCTTTACTGTCCCGAATCAAACCACCAATACCTCCCTTATCCCAACCCTTTACCATCGCTCCATCAACATTTAGCTTTAAGAACCCATCCGGAGGAGGGACCCAGCAAATTGGTTTAGAGTTGCCATTTCCTTGTCTACCCACCAAATCAGCAAGTTTTAAATCTCCCACAAGAGAGTCTAAAGGAAAAAGAAGAGAAAAAAGAAATGAGTGAGATAGGTAGAGAGAGAAGTGCAGAAAACTCGAAAAAGTCCATTGCCTCTACTGAGGAATGGACAGTGTTCATTGACAATCTTAGTAAGAGGGTTTCAAGACAAGTCCTTAGAGAGTTTTTTAGCCCTTATGGTCAGATTGTGAGAATATTCATTCCGCGGTATTTAGAGAAATCAAAGTACAAGTCCTCAACATTCGCTTTTGTCCAATTTATTGATGAGGAAAGTAGGGAAAAAGCTATCCAGTCTGTGAATGGGAGATGGTTCGATGGGAGGAGATTTTCGGTAGGGGTTGCTAAGTATCAGAAGGGAACTAAGAAGGAGGTTGATGATGGGAAGAGTATGTTGAGGTTCAAGTCAAGAGAGCAGGAGTTGGTTTCAAATGGGCTAAAGGCAAAGTCGATGCAAAGCTTCAGGGATGGCAGAACGTATAAGGAAGTAGCGAGGTCTGATGTAAACAAGAGAAGAGAACAAGAGTCGGAGATGTTGGTGGAGGGCAGCAAACGAAATGCTACTGGTGCGAGGAGCGTGTGGGAGATGCATATTGCGACAGACAATTTCAAGTGGGTGAAACGATCATTAACAGGAATAATGAAACCAACTTATGATTATGAGTCGGCAAAGGAAGCCATGGAGATAGAGGGATTGGGAATTCAGGTGTCGAGATGGGTTATGCATGGAAGGCTTGTATCATCACTTTTAATTCTGTGGATGAATTTTCTTATGCTTGGGAAAACAAGAAGGAAGTGTTGTCCTTGTGTTTCGATTGGTTAGCTCCAGCAGTTAATGAGAATGGTGTTCCTTTGGCTTTGTGCCAAATAGAACTGTGTGGTTTGCCCTTATTGTGCTGGAATGAGGCTTTCTTGGAGAAGCTCACTAAGGATTGGGGAAGGTTCATTTGTTTTAAGGAAGAATCAAAGATGAGATACGACCTTTCGTCTGCGAAGGTTTTGTTAAGGGTGGAGAGTCCCTTCGATGTTCCAGAAATGGTCATTGTAGGTTCTTATGGTAGATCTTTCAAAGTTAAGATTCTCATGGGGTCTGTGTTGATCCGCCGAATGAACTGGGGAGGAAGATGGAAGAGAAATTTTCAAACAAGGTGAACAGGGATTCTGTCCTTTCCGAGTCAGAGGAGGACTGTGTTCCAGAAAGAGCAGTTGAAGGAGAAGATTTTGCAGAGATTTCTGTGCATAAGTTACTTCTTGGCTGAATAATGGTCATAATAGTGGTATGAATGGAGGTACTGAGGGTCAGGCTACTTCAAGAAAGTCAAATGCAGGAAAGTCCAATTGTGGGCTGTCAGGTTTAGTGGAAAATAGGTCTGCCCAAGTGGAAGGTCACGTGGGACTAGGTCTGAGAGAAAGTTCTTCTCCCGATGAAAAAACCAATCTGATGTTAATGAGTCTCCCCTAAACTCTACTATGAAAATCTGTCCTTCTGGGCCTGCATATAACGTAAAAAGGATTGGAGACAAACTAATTTTCCAGCCCAATAACATTTTAGTCAATCCTTTGGTCCCTGTAGAAGTTGATAATCCTAGGCAAGTGATTATAATTTCAGGGGGGAGAAGGAATTGGTACAAGCTGAGCAGGGCGTCGGATTGATCGAAGAGCAGGCTATTGAGCAGCGGAGTATAATTGAGGATAATGTGATAAATTCTCATAGACAAATGGACATGGATAGGAATAGTGTATCTGCTGACCATGAGGTGGAGGGTAGATTCTTAGATAAGGAGAGCAGTTTGGAGTCTACAAAAAATTCTGGTCAGGGCTTTTCTCGATCAACAAATCTAATGAACAGGAGAAGGTTCAGAATTGCTCCTTGTCATTCGGGTAGTGTATGTTCGGAAGGTGAAGTGGAAGTAAGATTTCATGATAGAATATATAGGAGGGTGACTGGTAGCACGGACAGGGAGTCAGTGGAATACGTTAGGGAGGTGTCTCAGCCATCTCAAGACTCTGTTCAAGCCAGGCAGGAAGCGGAACATACTAGGGAAGTCTGTGACATGCTGGGAATTTCCTTTATAGGGGGAATCAAATTGTAGAGGATGAGATTTTCAAGATGGAATTGTTGGGGATTGGAAAGGCCTCCTGATCGTACCTTGTGGATTGTATTTGGTGTTGATGTTATTAATTTAAATGTCAAAACTAAAAATTATTACATGGAATATTAGGGGGCTTGGGAAGTCTGAAAAAATCAGGGCAGTGTCGAGGTTGGTTCTTAGAGAAAAGCCGGCTATTTTACTACTTCAAGAATCAAAATTGAATGTCTGTAGAAGTGGATTAACAAGAAAGCTTGGGGGTAATCTGCTCAGAGGCAGCTGTTTGTTCCAGCTGATGGTTCGGCAGGAGGTTTAATATGTTTATGGAATGAGAATGACTTTGAGGTTAGTGCACAGATTAACAGTGGTAGATTTATGGCATTATCAGGGAAGTTTAAGATGAGCAATTTTGAATGTGTCATTATCAATGTGTATGGTCCATCAGTAGAGGCTGATAAGAGGAATTTTTTAGGGATTTTTATGTGCTGTTCAAAGCATCAACTTGCCGGTCTGCTTGGGGGGGGACTTTAATGCTTATCTAGACCCTGAGGAGAAATGTGGGTTTACTCAGAATTGGCACTCTATGGATTTGCTTAGGTCTTTTATTCAATCTTCAAATTTGATGGATTTACCGCTAGTAGGGGGCGATTTACATGGTCCAATAATAGAGAGTCAACTACATGGGTAAGGCTGGATAGATTTTTGATTAGTGGATCATTTTTAAATCAGTTCCCAAATGTGATCCAAAAATGCTTCCCAAATCCCTTTCGGATCACAATCCAGTTTTGTTGGTAGAAGAATGCAATAATTGGGGCCCTAAGCCGTTTCGGTTCTATAATTACATGCTTCAGGAAGATGGGTTTGTTGGGGCGGTGGAATCGTCATTATCAAATCTAAGGAGGGTATTGGTGGTAGGGGTCTGTTCTCACTGCTTAGAGGAACTAAGCAGGCTATTAGGAATTGGCCAAGGAATAATCACAGGGGACTTTCCGATGCTATTTCTGAATTAGAATCCAGAATTAATGGTCTGGAATTGAAGCTACAGGAAGAGGGGACTTCCTTTCAAGAACGGGACTTGATGATTGTTGCGAGGAAGGAGTTGTGGAATTTGCATAGGAAGGAGGAGAGCATTTGGCTGCAGAGGTCACGAGTGAGATGGAGTATTGAGGGGGATAGAAACACAAAGTTTTTCCACATGTGTGCGTTGAATAGGAATAGGTTTAACACCATTTTTTCATTGAAGGTAGCTGAGGAAGTTATTTCAGAACCGGATCAGCTGAGAGGCTTTGTTTTTAATTATTTCAAGGACAATTTTAACTCGGTAACAACCCTAGAGGTGGACAAAATCAATTTGCCTTTTGCTAAATTGACAGATGATCAAAAGAAGCTACTTGAAGTTAGATTCTCAGAACAGGAGGTGTGGGAGGCAGTCTTCCACTCGGACAGTGCCAAAGCACCGGGGCCAGACGGTTTCACAATGGGTTTCTTTAAGAAATTTTGGCCATCTCTGAAGTCATACATTATGAAATTTGTCGAGGACTTTTATAATGGAAGGATTTGGGAGCACGGGGTCAATCATTCATTCCTAACGTTGATTCCAAAGACCAGAAATCCTGAAGGTATAGAAGATTACAGACCGATAAGCTTAGTTGGCAGTTTGTATAAAATAATTTCCAAAGTTCTAGCTAGAAGGCTTGCGGCTGTTATTAGTGTTCTGGTTAGTCCGTCACAGTTTGCCTTCATTCCCGGAAGGCAGCTACTGGACTGTGTCTTCTTGGCTAATGAAGTTATTGATGATTGGAGGAAAAAAGAGAGGAAAGGTGTTGTTTTCAAGGTGGACTTTCGAAGGGCTTATGATTCGGTGGAATGGCCGATATTGTTGAGACTCCTGAGAATTATGGGATTTGGAAATAGGTGGCTTTCTTGGATTGAGTTGTGTATCTCCTCCGCTTCAATTTCTGTTCTTGTCAATGGTTCTCCGACCAATGAATTCAAGATGGGGAAAGGGTTAAGACAAGGCTGCAGTTTATCTCCTATGCTGTTCAATATTGTTGGGGAATTATTGAATCTAATGTTGATTAAGGCTGCTGATTGTGCTCTGTTTGAAGGGTTCAGTGTTGGTAGGGCGGAAAATAAGTTTCATTTGACGCATCTACAATTCGCAGATGACTTAATACTTTTCTGCAGGGACTCTCCTGCTCAAATTATGAATATTAGGAGAGTTTTGAGGATTTTTGGCTTAATGACAGGCCTCCAACTTAATTTATCAAAGAGCAAGTTATTTGGTGTTAATATGGATGAGGAGGTTCTAAAGGAATGGGCTACGTTCGCAGGTTGTGGTGTTGGGGCTCTTCCTATGACATACCTTGGTATACCGATAGGCACTTACAGAAATTCGGATATGTTGTGGGAACCAGTTCTGCAGAAGTTCAATAGCAAATTAGAGGGCTGGAAAGCAAAAACATTATCGATGGCAGGAAGATTAGTATTAGTGAAGTCTGTTTTGTCGTCCTTGCCAATTTTCTTCCTCTCTATCTTCAAAATCCCCCTAAAGATTAATCAAAGTTGAATTCTCTGATGGCTAAATTCCTTTGGGGGGACGATCCCTCGAAGAAGCGGATTCATTGGGTGAATTGGAAAATTGTGTGTCAACCGTACGAGGAGGTGGTTTGGGTGTCCTGGATTTGTCGATGGCGAATAGAGTGCTTCTGGGGAAGTGGGTTTGGAAGTTTGCAAATGATAAACATTCTCAGTGGAAGGAGATGATCTGTTGCAAGCACAATATTACCAATTTGTCTCTTTCAATTAATAAGGCTGTTAACCCGCAAGATTCATGGATATGGAGAGGAATTGTGAATAATTATGAGAAAAATGACGATATTGGGGATTGTCTAAGGTCCAATTCCAAGATCCAAGTGGGGAATGGTAGATCAATCGAATTCTGGAATGACATTTGGGCTAATAATTCCACCTTAAAAGAACAATTCCCTAGGATTTATGCTTTATCGATAAACAAACGGGGAAAGTTGTGGACTTTGGCTGTTATGATAATAATTGTTGGAGTTGGAATATTTGTCTAAGGAGGAATTTATGTGATTGGGAATTGGATCAATGGATATCGCTAATGACTTTGATTGATAATATTGTCTTGATTGATGCTGTTGATGACTTCCTAATTTGGTCAGGGAGTGGAGATGGTTTGTTCTCAGTTAAGGCCTGTAGATCAGCTCTTATTCGAAGCTCTGGAGGAAATTTTCAGTGGAAGAAATGGGTTTGGTCTGGATTGGCTCCCCCAAAAGTTGAAACATTTTTATGGCAATTATCTCACCAGAAATTAGCTGTTAGAGTGGAATTGAAGAAAAGAGGTATTCCTTTGGAAGAGTTATTATGTCCTTTATGCCAAAAGGAGGAAGAAACAATTCATCATTTATTTATGTTTTGTCCTGTAGCTTGGGAGTTGTGGAATTTGTTCATCAATTTATGGGAGGTTATTACTGTTCTGCCCAAAGATCCCCCGTCTCTACTTAGTTCATGGTCTGATTTGAAGGCTTCTTCTTCTATTTGGAATTTCATCCCGGGTGTTGTTATGTGGTCGATTTGGAAGGCTAGGAACCTAGTGGTGTTTGAAAATGGAATTTTGAGAGATCTACACTGTTCTTCATTTGCAGATTCAGGCTGGCCAAATGGTTTCTAGCTAAATTTCCTGATGTTAACATCCAGGTACTACTAATAGGAGATCCAAGGCTGGATTTTTCATAAATTTTCAATGTGGATGGGGCAGTTAGAAGTGATGGTTTGCAGGGTGGAATCGGAGGTCTGTTGAGAGATTCGAATGGCTCTACCGTGATCTATTTCTCTAAGCCTGTCGGACCTGGTCCTCCTCTGTTTGCTGAGTTAAAAGCCATTAAAGAAGGAATTGATCTATTTCTACATTCGGACTGGGCGTCGAAGGGAAGACTTATTCTCGAAAGTGATTGTAAGACTGCAGTGGATTGGATTTTCAGGCCTACTGAGGCTCCTTCGTTCTTCAGTTCTTTGGTTCGGGAAATTGGGGATGTAATTTCGGGTAGGGATATTATGGTTAGGTTGATTCCTAGGGCTTGTAATTGGGAGGCGGACAAGTTAGCTAAGGAGGGGATAGGCTGAATGTCCTTACTGTTAGCGGTTATGTTTGGTATTTTAATTCGGGTGATTTTGTAAGTTATAGTTTTATGTAATTCGGGTTTACTAATATATTGAGGTACTCTTTTCCTCCTTCCGCTAGTTGCCTCTTATCAAGAGGCAACTATGAGGGAGGTTTTTAATGAGACCTCCTATTCCTATCAAAAAAAAAGAGAGTCTAAAGGTATATGCACATCCTTGAACTTTGCAACAAACCAGGAAGCTATTCTAAAACGGACAATAAAGAACAGTCTCACCACATCCAGCTTAACTTTCTGAAAAATAACCTCGTTTTTGCATTTCCACACTGACCACATCAACGCCCTTGGAATAAATTTCCAGATCAAAGAATTCAGAAGTAAATCATCCCACAAATTGAAAAAGTCCATGATATTCTTTCGAATCACAAAGGACAAATTCCAAATATTCAATAATCTGGCCCACAGACCCCATACTACCTCGCAATGCAAAATAGATGCGTAACGGATTCCATTTCCCTACCACACAAAGAGCATAAAGGATCATCAATCCCTACCACACCTCGCTTCAGTAATTCCTCCTTCACCGCCACTCTCTGATGAGAAACTTGCCAGACAAATGTCTCCACCCGTGGAGGAGCAATCCCTGCCCAAATATGCCTCTCCCAGGTCTCCATCTTCTGCTGAATACCATCTTGATCAAGGAAAATGTTGATACAAGATTTAGCTGAAAAACAGCCCTCACCATTCCCTGACCAAATCCAACAATCTTCCTCACATGGCGATATTGAGATATTGTTCAACATAGAAATCAATTGCAATAGCTGTTCAACCTCCCAATCCGCCAAATTTCGCCTCATTTGAATGTCCCACACCCAACCAGCGCCATTATTCACCCTAAACTCCATCACCTTACCCGATTTGTTGCTCGAAAGAACATAGAGTCTAGGAAACTTTATTTTCAAAGGTACTTCACCCAACCATACATCATTCCAGAACTGCACATAATTCCCCTTCCCTGTCTTCAAACGCATATTCTTCCTAATACAATCCCCAAAACCATCATCGGAAAAGAAATTTTTAACCACACCTCTCCAAATCCATGATGCATGGGCTGGCCACGAATTCCCCATCATTATGCATTTCGGATCCATGTCATAAACACCACATAGCACCCTCTGCCACCAAGACTCTTTCTCTGATGCAAGCTTCCAAACCCACTTCCCCAATAATGCTCTGTTCAAGAGTAATAAATTCGGGACCCCTAGACCCCCCAATCTTTTTGGTTTACTAACCGAACTCCAATTTAACCAGTGGATATTTTTTTATCCGCTGCACCCCCCCCCCAACAAAAATGAAGCCATGATAGAATTTAGTTTCTTTAGCACAGAAGCTGGAATTTTGAAAATGGAAAGAAAATACATAGGGAGCGAGCACAACACTGACTTTTCACACTTTAGATGAGATAAGATAGAGATAAGACTTGGAGTACATCTTAAATACTGACTATTACTAACATACATTAATTAATAGTAAACTAAACTATTTACATGACTACAATCTACATCAAATTGTCTTCTCCAAGTGCGAGACTTGAAAAAATTCACACTTTAGATGGGAATTTAGTGACACTATTGGTTTTTCTAGTAATCTTTTATTTATTTGACAAATCCTAATTCTAATCCTAATCTTTCCTAGAGGGGAGGGGAAGGGGACAATAGGGAAGGAAGGGGAGTGTTCCTAGTGGGTCTAGAGCCCATGACCTAAATTATCTTTATTGACAGCAATCAGCGTAATCACTCCTAAAATAGTTTTACCAAATACTAGTCAACACAATTACTCCCTTAATTTATGATGTGTTCCTGACATATTTTTAACACTAGAACTTGTTTGTGACTTGTATTGATTGAAAACCACTAAAGCTAAAATTAAATACCAAAATTCAGATCATAACTTTGAATGTTTTGTCCTTTCTCATATTTCTGCAGGATGCTCTGAACAATCAAGCTTGAGAATTATAGTTCAAGAGCACGTGATTCTCTTGCATGTTGGATGCCCGATTGCATTGGGTTTAATCTTATTGAGGCAATTTTATGCCATATATGCCGAAAGGAAAGATCAGGTGCTGTGCTAGTATTTATGACTGGTTGGGAAGATATCAGTTCTTTGAGGGATCAACTTAAAGCTCATCCCCTTTTGGGGGATCCTAACAGGGTTTTGCTTCTAACATGCCATGGATCTATGGCAACATCTGAACAGGTAGATTTATAGTTGTTCTTTGAATTACTTTAAGTTTTGGATATAATTTATCAGACTAAACAAAATTGCATTCACATTTCACGTTAAAACCTATGAATTTCAAATAAAATTTAAGCTCGGTAACTTTTAGTTAATGGGTGTTGAACATTTAGTTTCTGCAAAGAAAAATAAAAGGAGGTGATTTGTATAATACAAAATTGGACACTAAAGCATAGCATGTAGGCACGTTGTGGAAGGAGAAATTTAATTAGCTATGCATTCCTTAACTTAAAATCATGAGATCTTAACTTTTAATCCAGGGTCTTTGGAGAACCAAATATGCAGCTAAGTAGCTACCAAGCACCAAAATAGAGTTCTGTAAAATTCTTCATGGGTGCTATCAATCACTGTAATAATTTGATTCCTTTTAGCAAAATTTTGTAGGGGTCGAATACATAAATAACTCGAATTTGTTAGCTCAGATGCTTAACTATTATTGAAATTTATTAACCTGAATAAAGCAGAGGAAAACTATGCTCTTACACAGCTCCATTTCATTCATTTGACTGTCTTCTATTATTTTCTGCAGAAGCTAATATTCAACAAACCACCCCCTAATATACTAAATTGTTCTTGCTACAAATATGGCTGAGGCAAGCATTACAATCAATGATGTAGTTTTTGTGGTAGATTGTGGAAAAGCAAAAGAAACCACATATGATGCTCTGAATAATACACCATGTTTGCTGCCTTCATGGATATCTCAAGCATCAGCACGGCAAGTAAGTATCCTTTTAAACTAGGTTTATATCATTTTGATTATTTATTTTTTTGATAGAATAGGGAGACCTCATTATACTATGTACATGTATACCACTATTATCGAATTTTGACTGTGTTGTTGGGTCAATTGTTATAGGAGGTTAGCAATCTGAATTTTTTCAGTTTCCTGTTTGTACATGTGTGTTTATGCATTCTCCAGGAGATGCTTCATGTTTTTTCTTGCCTGAGAGTATTGTTTGGTTTACCTAGAACTTGGTCAACCCTTAGACAATTTCAGAGACTATAGTGTCTATCTTGCCTATTTATCTTCTGTGGCTGATGGTTGAGTGATATTTTGGTGGTGCAGAGAAGGGTAGAGCTGGTCGTGTGCAGCCAGGCGTATGCTACCACCTGTATCCCAGTTGTGTTTATGAATCGTTCTCTGAGTATCAACTTCCCGAACTTTTGAGAACTCCTTTGAATTCTCTCTGCTTGCAAATAAAAAGTTTGCAGGTTGAAAGCATTGGAGAATTCTTGTCAGCAGCATTGCAAGCACCAGAACCATTGGCCGTAAGCACTATTTTAAGCTTTTACTAGTTATACTTTATGTATGGGACAAGGTTGTTGATTGAAGAAGACATGAGAGTAATACTCCAGTTATTGGATACCTTATGATTCCATTTATTATATTTGACCAGCAACATGGATATTCAGATAAAACATTGATCCTTCTGTAAAATGGTAGAAGCCTAAGATTGTAAAAATTTGTCTGTATAACAACTTGTGAGAATTGAGAGATGTTCGACTATAGATAGGGTAAAAGTTGTTAAGGTCCTTTCAAAAGTATATAAAAAGGTTAGTAGTTAAGACATCAATTTCTATTTTTATATATATTTGCCAATATATCCTTTCATTGGCTCTGTTTTAGCAATTGCGATTCTGTCTCTATATTTCTGATCTTGTTCTCATTTTGTTGAATGCTGTAACATGACCCACTAACAAAATAATGAATGGCAGGTCCAAAACGCCATTGAGTTTCTAAAAATGGTTGGGGCACTAGATGAGAAGGAAAATCTCACAAATCTTGGTTAGTTAGCTATTGTTATACTGTGTAAATGTGTTTTGCAGCATATACTTTATATCACTTTTTCCTTTCATAGCAAATTGAATGTCCATCTATCCTCTTTGGATGGTTCAAAATTATGGTTTCTTTTGTTTTTTGAACATCTAAAGCTAGTCCTTTACTGTTTCATTCTGGTGATGTTAAGGCACAAAAAGAGGCGGTGGCTTTATTGCACTTTTATTGTGCTGTCTTCATTCTAGGCACAAAAGAAGCCATCTTCACCGACCCTTCAGTTTCTCTTTTTTCTTAGTTGAAACACCAGAAATGGTGTTTATCTTATTAAATAGAATCCCACCCACAAACATAATCTTCCTTTTGTTTTTTTTTCTTTTGGAAGTCAAAATACTGTTAATGTTATTTGTTCTATGACTTAGAATCTCACTACCAACTTTATTAAGTTCAAATTTCAAATAAAATTTTAAAAATTTAACTCACCTTCATCATTCTCTTTAAACCTTCGTGCTCTATCACCTTCATTTTCGTTTTCTTTTTTGCTTTACTCTCTACCTGTGCTGTATTTCGAGCAAAGATTTTATCTAACTGGTTATCATTATATATTATTTGTTTACATGTATTATATGATTATATATATATATATATATTTAATAGGAATGGTAGGCCTCGTTAAAAACCCCCTTCATGATTAATGGATCACAAGGTGCTCCTTAATCAGCGGAAGGAGGAAAAGAGTTCCTTATAATTCATGATAACCGAAAATTACATAATTCTTAACAACCATACAAGCCCCCTTTACAAAAACCAACCCAAAGCCTAAAAGATAACATAACCCAAAAGCCAAATTCTAACAAAAAAGCCATGAGCTTCCACACAATAAGTGTACAAAAAAGCAAGCTTCGAAATCACTCTATCCGCCTTTCTACCACTTAATGCTGGTCTTGTCGATGGAGACTATCCGAACCTCCAACTCCATTATCAATAATCATATGCGAATCACCTGAAACTACTCACTTCATTTAGTTTCTTAAATCAACACAATCTCACACTTATACATCCAACAATCCTCCTCAGTTCAGAAAAATAAACAATTGAGCCCATCCCTCGTACGATCCAAGATAAGATCCTCATCTCGACCTACTTCCTCTGAAAACAACTAAAATTCAATAGATAGGGAATGTGACACACCTTCCAATTCTTCCACTGCTATAATTTTCCGAAATCAAAACCACTTCTGAGCCTTTAGATACTATACCCAACACTTTCCCGATCTGTCAAGTTTCTTTCGCTTCCTTCTTTTGACTCTACCACCTTGCATGAAAGACAGAATCAGATAGGGATCTGCCTTCAAGTTCAGTCAATTCTTCCTCGCGTTGCACCTTCTTCTGATTATTCTTACTTCGACAGTATCTAGTCTTCCTTTGGGGAGTCGTGTATTTCTCTTGAATTATTTGGAGAGAGCTATATTTTTTGTTTTTCCCCTCATTTGCTCTCTGGTTCTGCCTGGAATTGTGCGTGAAAAAATCGTCCCTCAATTGTGTTGACAAGCAAAGGCTCTGGTCCAAATCCTCACATACTATCCCTGATTTTGGTTTTCCATCCACCCAGTCTACCCTTGGATCTTTTGATAGCATAATTATTAGTAAGGCCCATATTAATCACATCCTCCACCTCCTTTGACTCTAATCGACCATCGAAAATGGGCAAATCTATTAAATTATCCTTCATTCCCTCATTAACACGTGCAGTCTTACAAATTTTCCTATTGTCATTGTCTGCCTCTCTCTCCGCGTGATCCAACACTTCCTCGTGTTCCACCGCTTCCTCGATTTGCGATTGATCCTTCCCCTGACCAACAACAATATTCCTCAGACCCATAATTATTTCCTCCCCTATGTTCCTTTCCTCCTAGTTCTCACTCGACAAGATGCTGCCTCTAGATCTGTTCCCCATACAACATAATTGACTGTCTTCTTCCTCAGAACACCTCTCGGAATTCTTCTCCTCCGATGAGTCCACGTTTCTTCCTGCCGATGATTCAGAATCGACTACAACCGCACCTTCTTTTCCTTCCTTCTTTCGAAACAATGAATCACTTGTAATTGAGGGAAATTCCACTACTCTAATTCTAAATATATCTCTACCTGCTTCCAAGTCTACCACTTTATCAATTAATTCTTTCCTACTAGTTGCTATTAGAATAGTTATCTCCTCGCAGCTCAATTCTTGAAGTGCGTTTTCTCCTAGCACTAAGCATTCTCCCCATTGTTGTGCTATCCTCTTAAAGGTGCTATGGTTCCAGCAGTGAAGCGGCATTCCAAACAATTTAATCCGTGTAACTCTTTCCGACGCTCTGTATGATTCTGACCAAGGTTGAACTTCCTGAAAAACTTCATTTAAAATCGACCAGTTCTGCTCCTTCAAGATTCTGTATAACTCTTCATCATCTATTTGCAATAAGAAATCTCTCCCTCCCAGGAACTTGGTCTTAATTTCTCCTAGACCTCCTGCTTGTAATTTGTCTTCCACCTGACTCAAAGAGCAAAACGTCGCCATCGTTCCTACGAGGCACTTCTGGAGCTTTCGAACAACTTCCTCATCTACATTCCCCTGTATTAGCCTAGTCATCCTTTTTGCTAGTTCCTCTGGACTTTCTCCACTAACGCTTTTTCCTTGTTCTACCCTGGTTGTAGCATTGGAAGTTGATGGATAATTCAGTTTCCAGTTTTGATTCTTAGCTCCATACCAAGCTTCGTTGACTGATAATCGATGTCCAAATATCCAGAATCCATTTAATCTTTGGACTGCTCTAACTGTGTCATCTCTGTTGAAAAAACTAACAAACCCAAAGCGCTTTCTTGTTCTATCATTTTTCCTTGCTATATAAGAACTAATCACATCTCCATGCCTCCCGAATAGTTGACTCAACCCACTCCAATGATATCTAGGTGGAATGTTTTGCACGAACAAAGTTCTATCTCGCCTTCCTTCCCTGAGCTTTGAGCCATCCGTCCTAAAACCTTTCTCTTCCAAGACGACGAAAGTAATTGCTTATTAGTCAGTGGGAAAAGTGCACAGTGGAACGGATGAATCGAAACTCGGAAGACTGCTGGGGAAAAAATCGGTGGAGAAAGGCGAGTAGAGTTGCTCCGATTGAAGTGGAATCTATCAAAAAGAACCAAGAAAATGGAAACGCTGTGGGTAGACGATGATCCTTGAGAAAAACAACGTCAAAAGAAGGTCGGAGTGCGGCAGTGGGCGGTGGTCGGAGGACGGCGGACGACAAGCGACGGACGGTGGAAGGCTAACGACAGATGACGGTAGTGAAGGTTGTTTAAACTTCACTTAGATTCTCTCTCTCCCTCTGCCCCTAGAAATTTGAAATTTGAAATTTGAAATCGCCTAAGTTAGAGAGAAGCTAGAGCTTCTCTCACTTTTTCTTTATCTATGTAACTACTAGTAAAGACCAATTATGTGTATATATATGTATGTACCTTATTTTGATTGGGAAACTGCTTTTTTTTGTGCCTTGCACCTCAGGCTTTATAGAGGTCTTTAGCGCCTTTAGTGTGCTTGATGCCCTTGACAACACCGTTTCATACATGTATTTATCTTGGTTTTATTTTCTCATCCTTTTGGACCAAAATGACCATAAACATCAACTTTTTATGATGTTTCAAAATTTCAAAATAAAAATGAGTATAAATTATTTTCTTAAACTTCATGCAAGTAAAATATGGATATTCAATGTGGAATTGAGGGAGGAGTACTTTTGCTGTTGTTACTTATTTCTCTCGTGTTTTTCCCGTACTTCCCATCAGGAAGGTTTTGGCAATACTTCCTGTAGATCCCAAGCTAGGGAAATGCTAATCATGGGTGCCATCTTCCGTTGCTTTGATCCTGTATTAACGATAGTGTCTGGACTTAGTGTCAGGGATCCTTTTCTGTTGCCTCAAGACAAGAAGGATGTAAGTGAATAAAATTGGTTTGGCAAATTGAATCACGTTCTTTAAATTTCTTATCTTGCAATGTTGATTATGTGTTGAGAAGTAGGACAAAGACCTGAACTGTCTCGATACTATCATATGCTTCTAGGAAAGTGTATGTCAAAACTGCTAATGATTTCCATTCCTTCTTAAATATTATCCGTTCTCTCCATTTGCAAATCACATTGAAGGCAGAGAAATGACACCTTGATAACCATCGCATGTTCTTCTGCCTCTGCCATTATATGGCACACAAGTTTGCAGGACATAATTTCTATGTTTTTGTTAAATTATTGATAGAAAAGAGAAGGATTTATATAAGTTTACAGTTAGTATTGTAAGGATTTAATTCCTGAATAAAGCATGAAATATTTATCATGTCATTTTCTTTCCTTAAAACTCATGACCCATTTTATGTTTTAGTTAGCTGGGACAGCAAAGTCCAGATTTTCTGCAAAAGACTACAGTGATCACATGGCTCTTGTCCGTGCGTATGAAGGCTGGAAGGATGCAGAAAGAGAAGGATCAGCATATGAGTATTGTTGGAGAAACTTCCTGTCTGCACAAACTCTTCAGGCTATTCATTCTCTTAGGAAACAGTTTGGTTTCATTCTAAGAGAAGCTGGCTTGGTAGATGCAGATGCAGCTTTGAACAATAAATTAAGTCATAATCAGTCTCTAGTTCGTGCTGTCATATGCTCTGGACTCTTTCCTGGAATATCATCTGTTGTGGTGAGACTTCATTATAATGTATAAATGCAGCCAGCTTCAATACTTACTGATTATGAGATAACATTTTTCATTTTGTGCCTTATGTGCAGCACAGGGAGACATCAATGTCTTTTAAAACAATGGACGATGGCCAGTTTTATTATACGCGGTAAGTGAAAATACCAATTCAGAGAAACTCGTAAGAGAATATGTTGTTCCATGTGAAAATCAAGCTTATACCATGCTTCTTTGGAAGTCCCTCCTTTTCTATGAAAAAAAAAATTCAATAATTCATATCTGCAACACTTTTTCTGCCAGTTATTGCTCTCTCATATTTTATGTTCTTATGCCAATCATTTTGTTTGACCTTTTTTTGGTTTATATATCTATACACTAACACACAGCGATAAAGAAATCTAAACTTTGTTGTCCCAAATAGATTAAAAGCTTTTGCAGAAAATATAAGTAATAAGGGCCAACTTTTAAAAGTTTGGCACCATAATTCAAATACTATTTGCAAAGTAATAGCTTATTTTGGAAATCCATGTGAGGCCATTAAATTGCTTAATTTTAAAAATTATTTGAATTATTAATTTAGTTTAATGACTTTAATCCCGACCTTTTAAATATATTGTAAACCTTAAAATTGAGCATACCCTATGTAACACTTGCCTTACGTTCGAGTACATAGTTCATCGCACATGGATTCAAATTTATGGTCAGTTGGCCCTAATCTACAATTATGGTTGGTTAATAATGCCATAAAAAGGTGAATCTTGGGGTGGATATTGTAAGATTTATTTACCCAAGGTGTACATGCTCTTGTATTTTCGTGTTTAATGTTATTGCAAGTTATCAAAAAAGAAGGCGGTGCTTTGGGCTTTAGCTTGCTGATAATCTTCAGAAGGAAATTTTAGCAAAAATTGTAACTCGTCCTTTCATGCTTGCATATACATCCTAGTAATTTCCGATTGATCCTCAACTTCTCTTGGCAGTGCCTGGACTATGAAACCCTAAAATCATTATAACAGGGTTTTCTAATTTACTCTCTCCCTCTCTCTCTCTCTCTTGTTGGAACATAAATTCTAAGTGCCACTGCAATTATTTGATGTTGATATTGATTTTTGTTTCAGAATTCTGTAAATTCACGGTACCAGACAATTCCTTACCCATGGCTGGTCTTTGGTGAAAAAGTAAGGTCAATACAGTTTTCATACGTGACTCCACTGGTGTATCTGATTCTATACTGATTCTCTTTGGCGGTGCTCTAAGCCGTGGGGCACAGGTGATTTCATTTTTGAAGAGTACATATAATTTTCCTTCCTAAAGAATTGTTCACAATTTCTAGCTAATATCTTAGATGTTCCCAGGCTGGGCATTTGAAAATGTTGCAAGGATATATTGATTTCTTCATGGATTCTAGCTTGGCAGACTGCTATTTGAAGCTCAAAGAGGAACTTGATAGACTTATTCAGAAGAAGGTGAGAGAATATTTTTATCTGCAACTCTATGATGCATTCTTTTACATTATTAGAAATTAAAAGATGAGTCTTGTGTTAGCATTTTGGTATAGTCTTACCAATCAACGGTATTTGGGTACTTTTAAAGTGCCTTCTCTGATTAACCCATTTATCTAAGAAATTGAGAGGAGTACGAATAGAAACTACAGAAATGCATCTTTTTGTGGACTATGTAAATATGGTTTTACATGCCAAAAATAATTGATGCACTTACCATATTGTGCGCTTTATAGATGTTGAGCCCCAAATTCAGGCCGAGTGGCCAAAAGGGCACTCACCCACAACACCCACATCGTGGGTTCAAGATGCGATCGTTGTGTGTGTGAGTTTAATGATCATTGCACCAAAAACAAGAATTGTAAATAGATGTTAATTCCAGTTGCTGGCTCAGGATGAGTTAAAATTAGCATTAGTGGAATTTGTTTAGTTCAAGGTTAGTGCTAATGTAACACCCCCAACCCGTACCCGACCCGGATACGAGTCCGAGGTGTCACATTAACTTTTCAACTTTGACTCTTGACAAAATTCAAAGAAAATTTAAAACTTTCCTGAGTAAAAGCAGTTTAGTTACATAATTTGACCACAATAACCAAAATCGATCAGAGCATATTTAACTCAATCAATTAGTACATGCCAACTATATTCAAAATAACAAAAATCATTTAACTCATCTATTTTCTGATCTGAAATCTTGTAAGGGAGATGCTGACCTGTGTTGCTCCTCACAGCTTCCATATTCACTTTCTGTAACCTGCGTGTGAAACACTCACATGCTAAGTCGATGACTTAGTGAGGCATAAAGAAAACACATCTAATAGAATTCATACTCACTAATCATGCATGACTGTTTTTATGCTATCAAATTATACAACTCATTTACATATACATCAACATATATTCATGTATATTATGTAACAGATACCATAACCCCTATCACACATATATCATATCATGCACACATCATATAACACATCATATACATATATCACATACATTGTTCTGATATCACCAACCTACTTATCCTTACTAATTCCCTTGTCATTACTTCAATTCCGTCATATGAGCATATAATGAATATAAACATATTATATATATTTTAATAAACCACAATACATTACTAATTTCTATAATCATATAATATATAAACACATAGCATCTCATATCACCATGACATATATGCACTTCTACCATGTCACGAGAAATACACATATCATTATATCAAATTATGTTCTCTTTTTAAAGCCCATGTACACATGTGAGAACTATAGATATGTGAGTCTATAGAGGTTGTGCACTATGCTGTCACCACAGCTCGTATAATTGCACCGGAGTGCCACGTAGAATTGCACCGGAGTGCCGCGTAGAATTGCACCGTAGTGCCATATAATAATGTCCATAAGGACCACATATCATTCCTTAAGAATCATATACATATACTAGGGATCAAGTATGTGTCTCATCAGACTTCACACATGTTCCAAAGAATACATATATGTCCCGAAGGACCACATATCATTCCTTAAGAATCATATACATATGCCAAGGATCAAGTATGTGTCTCACATGTTCCAAAGAATACATATATGTCCCGAAAGACCGCGTAGACCCTCGACTCTTGGCATGCCAACTATACCCCTAGCTCTCAAAAACACATAACATGGGCATTTTCTTTTAGAGAAAATAACCTCAGTGACCAAAAATTCCAGATAATATACGATTTTGATCAACTTTTTTTGGATTTGCGAAAATGACCAACAAAATCGCAATGCGATCTCTAATTCGCATTGCGATCTCCACTATCGCAAATTTGCGTTGCATTTCGCGTTGCGATAATTGAAAATCGCGTTGCGATAGTTGAAAATCGCGTTGCGATTTTCCATTTCAGGTTGCGATTTTCCGTTTCATGTTGCGATTTTCCAGTTCGCGTTGCGATAGTCTACAGTTGTCGTTGCGATTTTCCAAATTCGTTGTGATAGTTAAAAAAAAAGATTTTGTTTCTTAAGAATTTTCTCTAAAAAGATAGTATTCGCGCGGACGTGTCGAAGACACGTATTACCACGACCACGACCCGACCCGACCCGAGACGAGACGGACGGCGGCGGCGGCGCGCGAGAGTCCCCCTTGTTCTCTATCACTCAACAAGGAAGTGGAAAAGTCAAGCCTTAAATACCATTCTCAATAGTGTTTCCAATACTATGTGGGATGAGCATTACCAACACTTGTTTCCAATACAATGTGATTATTCAGGAAACAATTAACAATCATGCACCTTAAAACAACTGAATCAGCAACCAATTGCATTAGTATTATACGATTAAATATGTCGTAATTAAAAGTCAATCTACAATCAATCGCGATTATTGCAATTTTAAGCAAAACATTCAAAAATAATTTCACTATTTAAGGCTCAATCCCACATATTATTGGGAACAAGTGTTGGTAATGCTCAAATCCCACATAGTATTGGAAATACTATTGGGAATGGTATTTAAGGCTTGGCTTTCCCACTTCCTTGTTGAGTGATAGAATAAGGGGACTCTCGCGCGGCGGCGCCGTCCGTCTCGTCTCGGGTCGGGTCGGTCGGGTCGGTCGTGGTAATACGTGTCTTCGACACGTCCGCGTGGATACTATCTTTTTAGAGAAAATTCTTAAGAAACAAAATCTTTTTTTAACTATCGCAACGAATTTGGAAAATCGCAACGACAACTGTAGACTATCGCAACGAATTTGGAAAATCGCAACGACATTGTAGACTATCGCAACGCGATTTTCAACTATCGCAACGTTGCGATTTTCAACTATAACAACGCGAAATATCGCAACGCGAAATGCAACGCGAATTTGCGATAGTGGAGATCGCAATGCGAATTAGAGATCACATTGCGATTTTGTTGGTCATTTTCGCAAATCCAAAAAAAGTTGGTCGAAATCGTATATTATCTGGGATTTTTGGTCACTGAAGTTATTTTCTCTTTCTTTTATACTTATCATAACACATAGTTCAATTACTCATAGAACATTTTCATGAGTCACATTTACATGTCACATAGCTTATATATTTTCTCACGTAGTTACATAGATCCATATCATATAACATATATCCCAAAGTGCACATATATCATATCATATAGCTTAGATCATTTCTCAGATATTCATATAAACATACATATCATATCTTGTTCACATATGATCATATATGCTTCATATAACACATAGAAACACCTAGAACACTTTCTCATAGCTTATATAAATTTTCAGTCCTTTCATATTACCTGATGACATATATCATATAGATATAATAACGGATATCATATTATCTACCTATGCTCCATTTCTTTGTATTCCCTTAGATTATAAATTATGTCATATTTCTAAACATATCATTTAATAGTATTTTTATTTAGGTACTAATTTAATCTCTTACTTAATTCAATTTCATATATTCATTATAATCTTTTCATATAGCTCCATTATATTATACTAATTCTCATAATAAATCATACCACTATGTACTTGTCCAACTCATGTTTCCATTATGCATATACTGTTACCCATGTTTACCTAGTTCATATCACTTCTCATAAACTCACTTTCATTATATTTTCCTATTATTACATATTTTATCTCATAACCATGTATTCACATAGTCTTATATTTCATTATCATATTACTTATATTTGTTCTCCTATGACTCTTAATAAACATCTATTTCTATTTCCGTACATCTCTCGACTTATCTTCTATATTCCTATAATTTCATAACTTATTTTATATTCTCTTAATAACACTTAATCGTGTTTTTACATAAACCACATGGCACATACAAAACATATCAATTCAGATAATCAAACATACATACACTCATATTCAACTCATGCCTTTAATCATGAATTCATATGTAACACTTCAGGAAATAGATTCATCGCAAGTCTTATTCCCATCACAACATATACTATTGAATATGCACTCACCTGGTCTCACTAGTCAATCTCGATCTCTAATCTTTCCCTTGATCGATCTTACTTGCCAAATGTTCCAGAATTGCCTTATGCTCAGAATCTACATAAATGTATATTTTAAGGCAAATATTAGATACCTACACCTTGTAATTGGATACTAGCAACTTAAACGAACTTATTAAACCCATATTCACAATTTTCCTTTAGGGGGGTATCGATTCCCTACTAGGGGTATCGATACCCTCATGACATTCTGGAATTCTGTCGTTTGAGAGGGTATCGGTACCCCTTTGAATGGGTACCGATTCTCCCTAACCCAGAAATCATTTTTCAGCACGAAAATTACTTCATTTCCTCTCAAACACTTCATATATCATCCCTTTCTTATTCTTAACTTACATATACATGCTTAAACTCATTACTACTCATTCAATACATCTTTAACTTCAAAATCTAATTCTCTACATAGAATTCAAGAATCACACTAATTTTTTTTTCTTGTTCTAAATTCAATTCTATCACTTCATATCTCTTAATTCAACCATTGACAAGTCAAATTTATCTTCCAATTTGAGTAAAGAACTCTATTCCAGAATTTCATTCAAAAACTCTTAATCTTTAATCCCTCCTAATTCCACCATCCTTTGTTTTTAAGATGATTTAAGCTTTCCTTAAGCTTAATTATCATCCAATAATCATAACCAAACCTTTAGTTGAACAAATAATCAACTAATGAAGAAACTTACCTTTGCTTATGGCTTCACGGTAGAAAAGAAGAGAATGAAGAAGAGAAATCTGGAACTCTCTCATATTTCCCACGTTTATAATACTCAAAAAGGAAGATAAAAATCTTTCCCATGAAAAGACTATTTTGCCCCTTTAGTTCATCCATCTTTGCTATTTAATCCAATATTAAAATTCTTTACTTAAATCCCAAGACTTTTAAATTTCATTTCTAAATTGAACACAAAACTTTCAAAATTTACAATTTAGTCACTGACCCTGATTTGGGATGTTACAGCTAAGGTGATTTATACTGTAGCACCTTAGTAGAGTCCGATTTTGTTAATTGTTCTTTTCATGTTTGATATATATACGGACGTATATAATACGGCCCTGTAATGATTCTCCAAATATAGGAAATTTTTTAAAAAATGAACACACCCATATTTGACACTCCATGTTTGAGTAACATGGTTAATGTTTTGGGTTTTGTATTTTTCTTCTTAATCTGTCGTGTTTCAAATGATAAATTGCGTTGCTATATGCAGCTTCAAGATCCTAGCATTGATATTCACTGGGAAGGGAAGTACCTTATGCTTGCTGTTCAAGAACTAGTGTCTGGAGATCTATGTGAAGGGAGGTTTGTTTTTGGCCGCACAAGCAGGAAACCAAAGGATTCCACTGACAACGGTAGATTCACGAAGGATGGAACAAATCCAAAGAGCTTGCTACAAACTTTGTTGATGAGGGCCGGGCACTCGCCACCAAAGTACAAGACAAAGCATCTGAAGACGAATGAGTTCAGAGCTCTAGTGGAATTCAAAGGAATGCAGTTTGTGGGAAAGCCCATGAAAAACAAGCAGCTTGCTGAGAGGGATGCTGCGGTAGAAGCTTTGGCTTGGCTGACTCATACTTCGGACAATAGCCGTGGTGAAGATGATTCCCCTCTTGATGTCACCGACAACATGTTAAAACTTTTGGGGAAGCGTCGAAGATCAAAAGGACGATAAGTGTCCTCTTTCTCTTTTACTGCATGCTGCGTCTTTCCATTGCGACTCTAAGCTGCCTGGTAGTGTTTAAAACGACGAGAACTTTGGATATCCACTGTTGATTACTGCTCAAATCGTCTCGACGATTCACTATTGAATCCCAGTAACATTGAAGAACTGCTTGCTGAAAAGGAAAACCAAGATCGCTAACACAATTGAATCTTTCGTCTCATGCCGGCATCAACTGTTTTAAAGTTGTGGTTGCATTTTGTGTGTGTCATGTAAGCTTCTGTATTGAGCTCTGTAAAGAAATAGTTCCTTAATTAAATTTTGCAAAAATAGTTTTATAGCAGAACTATACAACTCCGAGTTGAGGGTTATTTAATGTTGACAGGTTTTTTAGCCCTTTTTTTAAAAAAGGAATTTAGCTAATTATTAGAGATTTTTCCTACCCTCTGTATGTTTTAGAGTTTAATAAGCAATTAAGGATATAGTTTTCTCATAATTTTTCAATTTCTCAAAATCAACATGGCATAAAGCCCAAAGCCGAAAACCATTCTTGTTGACATCGCCCACAACATTGGAACCCAAAGGTCTTTACTGATGGGGTTTCTTTTTGCAGGGCAAGTAGAAGTTTATTTTGGGATATATAGTATTGTTCACATTGTTTATAGAACTCGTCATCTCGAGATGAGAAGTTTTTATAAAATATAATTTTTTATTAAAATTTATAACATCGAGTTAAAAAATTTAAATAAAAATATATTTTTTAATTAAAATTCGTTATTTTAAATTGACGAGTTTTATGTCTTTATCTGTAAATTTTAAAATAAATTTCTATTTATTCTATTGGATTAAATATAAAAAAAAAACTCAGATCGTACTGGGCTAATTTTGCCTTGCGGACGGAGCTTTAGAATCAGTTGGTCGAAAATCCAACGTGTGGGTTCTGCGCGCCATCCTCAGTCGTTGCTCCCATCTTCATGTCTCTGCGTTTAGACCATGTTATAGTCATTTTGAGTTTATGGTCCTACCTTTTCGACTAATTAATGGACTCACAACGTTCATGAAATTATTGACGTGTCATTAATTTTTTTAACAATGAATAACAATAAATAACTAAAGTGATAATTATTCTTTATTTAACTAGAATCCCCTCTACTAAAGTCATTCAATCATTCCTTTAGTTACGTTTTGATCATTCAATTATTTATTGCAAAATTATCACCAATATTCATTTTAGTTTCGTTTTGGTCACCAACTCTTAAAAATTAACGACACTTTAGCAAATCTATTAATTTTTAATGATAACATCCAAAATGAAATCAAAATATAACGTTAGTAGTGATTTTAAAAACAAATAATTGGGTGATCAAAATGAAACCTACGTGATAGTTGTTTGATTAAATATGTAGTTTACTATGAGATAAATTCAAAAAGGTAAATTAATATTTAATCATCAAACTATTTGTGCGGTTCTATTTTGATTATTTAAATATTATTATTTTTTAAATCGTAGTTAATCTAATGTTTTTGTTTCATTTTGTTCACTCACTGTTAAAAAATTAACGGTAATACTGACATATCATCATAAGATAATGTCATGTCGTTATTGAAAAAAATAAAAATCTCACATCAATAATTATGTTATTTTTTTTACAAAGGTTTATCAAGATAAAATCAAAAAATAACATTAGAGTGCTTATAAGATAATATATGTTCATAATATTTCTTAATCATTAATAAAGGACACACATTAATAATATAATTGTTCGAATCTAAAATCATAAAAAAATAATACTCTAACTAATAAAAGTTCATAAAAAATAATTAAACTATTAAGACGAAACCACGCCAATAATTGAATGTCTGCCGTAGAAGAACACGGTTAATATGAACTGTTAAAAAACCCGACTTCCCCCTCCTCGCTTGTTACCTTTAAGATCACCGACATGTGACTGAGAGGTATTACCACTGTCATCTTACAAAGATACCAAAAATACGTATGCTTGTATCCATTATTAGCACTTTTTTTCTTTTTAATTTCATTTTTCTCTCACTCTGTATGAAAATACAATATTATATAAAAACCCTAATTAACCAGCTTTTCATTTCCCTTGAAAAATTTTCCTCAAAATCCCTATCCCTAACATTCATTTCCCCTTTTCTCCTTTTCTGTTTCTCTGATGGCGACGGCACGTGAGGAGAGTAACCCCTATGAAGGTGGATTAGGAGCCGGGGGAAAATTCAGAAAACGGCCGTTACGGAGGGCAACAAAGACTACACCATACGACAGGCCGCCGACCTCAATAAGGAACCCCAGCGGTACCGGCGATAGAAATGGTTGGTTATCGAAATTGGTGGATCCAGCGCGGAGGCTTATTACTTCCAGTGCTCAAAGGCTCTTCGCTTCCGTCTTTACGAAACGCCTCCATCAGCCGCCGCTTCAGACACCGCAATTGCCGGACTCTGGTGAGTATTCTCCTCGGTTCTATTCTATCATTCCTGAAATTAAAATATGGAGAGAAACTTCCTCCATAAACCACAGTTTTTTTGGGGACATGGGTTCGGTTAGGTTTCTCTTAATATTGGGTTTGGAGTGGTAGTTTGCAAATTTCTGGTTAGAAAATTTGTTCTTTCTTGTAGAGGAAGGCTTCTGGGAGTTGGGTTTTATTTATTTCGATTTGTAATCTTTAGTATAAAAAATAGGTTCATGTGAATAATAATCCTCTTTATAATTTTTGTATAATTATTTGATTTTCTTTATTGTATACAATATCTCTCATTTAGTTGATATATGCTTGAATGCTTCATTTAAATGTAATATGTATTTAATTCGAACCTGTTCTTGATTACGCAATGTTGTTTTACTTTGAAATTAATGTGTACTTTATATGTTAATGAGTTATTGATAGGAATCAAGATGCCTTGAGTAAATTATAATTTTTTTTTATAGGATTGAGTAAATTATAATTGGTGATTAAACTTTGCTCGTGTATGAGTTTTTTATGTTAGGCATGGTTGAATATCAAATTACCATGAATCAGTTTTGTTCCTTTTTTTCCGTGATGTTGATTACATGTGATATAATGCCATCAGGGACTAATGAGGAACCAAGGGAGAATCAACCAGACGCTACTTCAACAGTGCGTATTATTTAAACTAGTTGTTTTTATGTTCTGTACAGCTTTTTATTTTTTTGGCTTAATACATTTCCATTTATGGTATTCCTTTTAGTTTTCTTGTAGCGTTTTTATTACCTTTTTTACTTTCTTGAAAACCTTAATACATTTCCATTTATGGTAAACCTTTTAGTTATCTTGTAGCGTTTTTATTACCTTTTTTCCTTTCTTGAAAACCTTTTAGTATATCTTTTAGTATGTCAAATACTTTTTAGAATGAGAAAGGTGAACATATTTAGTATTGCAACTTGTAAGTAGTACAAACTAAGAAAGTTTGATGAATCAAAAATCCTGGTTCTTGCCCAGCTTTGTTTGAACATTTGGTCAAGGAAATTTGTGCAGTGGTGGTGAATAAAAAAGTAATTGTTAGGCATATTCAGAGATGTTGCAATTGGAAGGCTGATGAGCTTGCAAAGTCAGGAATTGCGTAATTGTTTGTAGTCTAGCTTACTGTTTTGCTGTGTATAGGATATCTGGGTTGTTTTGTAAGGTGGGGTAAGTCTTGCTAAGTTAGGGATATGGCTTTGGATGAGATGTTAGAAGAGTGTTGGTCATTTTTGAGGTTGTATTTTGGTTGTGTATGGGTGTAATGAACTCTTGATATACTTGGTGTTTATTGAATAAAATTTTGAGGTACTCTTTTCCTCCTTCCAATGTCCGTTAAGCTATATTCATAGCTTGAGGGGTATGAAGGGGTTTTTTAATGAGGCCTCCCATTTTTATCAAAAAAAATGATGAACCATTTAGCATTCCCTTCTTATCTATTTTTGAAAGAGGAAATGGATCTATTCTATTTTTTTTTTGAAATAATTAATCTATTTTTTTCTCATCTTTATAACATTTTCTTCTATTTTCGCCAAAGCCTCAACTGTAAGTGAAAAACGGAGCACTCATATTTGTTTGAAAACAGACGCATCCATTTCTTGCTATGTTATATCTTCTGTCTAGAGCAATAGAATATTACAATAAATGTTAAGGACATGCTTTGTTCTAAATTCTCATGCCCCCTTATTCATTGTTAATTGTGGAATTTACTTTCAAGTTTATTGTCAGTCACTTATATTTATCATATTTTCTTATGTATTTATTTGAATTTTCCCCTTGTGATTTTCTCTATGATGATTAATGAACTCAGCTTGTATGCTTTGTTGTTTTATGTACATTTATCCACTTAGGTTCCTCCTGTTGTGCAAGGAGCCATTATAGGATGTGGGAATCCCGTTAGTCATACTGAAGAAACTGGAGTTGCTGAACTTGAGGAAATTTTAAAGCGGAAGACATTTACCAGGCAAGATGAGCTGAAATTGCATCTCCTTGATGTCAAATTGAAATTGCATTTTATGTTGCTCGGACTCTTTATTTTTCATCAAGAACCAGTGTCTGACACTTGGATATGGGGATAAGATCTCCAAGGATCATTCAAATCTATAGAAAAACTTAGAAAACCTAGCCATTCCCGTATCTGACGCTTACACCTGAGTTTGAGTAACATAGGTTAATTATGCTTCCTTCTTTTGAGGGAATTTCTCGAATCGTTTCACTTGGGATAATTTTCTGTGCTTTAGATTCTGAAGTTTCTATTTCTTTTACTTTTCATCAATTGGAAGAAAAGGGCTGAGAGTTTGAATTGGATTTAATCACGTTGATAAAAAATTCTAGTTATTCCTGCAACCTTTGTAGTTGATTTACTGGCAATCCACCTTCCAATTGTACACGATTTTGTAATTCTTTGTAATTTTTCTTCATTGTCCAGCTTGAGTAGGAACAAACTTCAGTGGTCCTTTTTTGGGCGGTTGGCATGTTTGTTTCTACCAGAGTAGTAGTATTTCTGTCAACAGGAATTTTATTGATGCTATAGATAATAAATGTTATTATTCTTTTTTCAGATCTGAAATTGATCATTTGACGGGTTTACTACGCTCAAGAAGTGCTGACATTTCTGGTGGAAATGAAGAACAGAGGTCTGCCTTGATCTCAATGGTATCACACGACAAGAAAGAAGAATTTCCAAAGACCCCAGTTAGAGAGAATGTGACTGAAAACCATCTTATTTCAACACCTCTTGTCAGCTCAACTGTAAGGAAAAGCTTTCTTTCCTTCCTTTTGCTTCTGGGCTGGCATACCCTCACCTCACCTGCTTTTAACTATTCTTTATAATTTTAATTTTGTATATTGAAAGGAAAATAATTAAAAATAAGAACTTTAATGGTTCTGCAGGTTGTTAATGAGGTTGTTGCTTCACCTGCTGAGCTTGCAAAAGCTTACATGGGCTGTAGGACAACAAAAGTATCTGTATCAAGGCCCGGATTACAAAATCATGTGCCCATTGAAGTTTTAACTTTTCCGAGCAATAAAATTTTCTCTTCTACGTCTTCCACAATGTCGCTCTTGCCAAGATCTTCTGGTCATGTTGGGAGTGTTGGCAGCCTTAGAAGCAGTTTTGTGACTCCAAGATTGAGGGGCAGGTCTGCAATATATAGCATGGCACGGACTCCTTATTCCAGGGATAATGCAGCAATTCCCCTTAAGGTTGTCATGCATGGCAATATTTTCTTTCCTGTAATTGCTTGTTTATCACTTGTCTTATCCTAGTTGTTTGCTTATTCTGTAGAGTTCTGGAACAGCAAGTGATGCTTTTGGTGGACCATCATTGCCGCAGAGTGCATGGGATGAAAACAGAATTTCTGGCTCCAGACAGGGGGTACTAATTTAGGGTCATTATATTTCTCCCTTCCAGGATTTTCTTTTATAAATCTAGAGTGTATCATACAGTATGCGTTTCTTTTCTTCACAGGGTTTGAAGCGCAGGAATTCGGTATTAGACAATGATATAGGATCAGTTGGCCCAATTCGGCGGATTCGTCAGAAGTCCAATCTTCTTTCTTCAAGAATCTTAAGTTTACCAGCTTCAGCTGGTCCTCTATCTGCTCACAAAGCCGGCACTAGTTCAGGTGGTTCAGATAGTCTAGCTGAGAATAGGGATAACAGCATTCCTGGCACAAGTTTTACCACTGTTCCATCCAAGTCCAGTCAGGTGGCTTCAAAAATATTACAGCAACTGGAGATCATGGTTTCCCCAGGGGGAAAAACACCCACTAAGTTGTCACCATCTATGCTACGTGGGCAGGCTCTAAAAGCCTTGAGAATGTAGATTCTTCAAAATTTCTGGAGAACATGAATGATAATGATAAATTGAATGGTTCTTTGCTGATTGGTTTTCAAGGTTCTATCTCTCACAAACATGATGAAGTTAAAGGAAATGGCCCAACAACATTAGGTGCTCTTCCTGACAAGCCAGTTCCTGTGGTAAATGGTGTAGATAGTAATAGTTTAATGAAGGATAATAATGCGCCTAGTGTCAATGCTACCGATTCTAGTGTGATCAAGTCTCTCGTACAGCAATCTCAGAAAAAGAGCCGGGCTTTTCAGATGAGTGCACATGAGGTATGTTTTAATTGGTAATCATATAGAGCTACTTATCAAAACTTCTGTTTGTTTGCCTGTAGCGTGTTATTGTTTCCACAAGAAGAGTCCCTATTAAATGCCTCCTTTTGAATTGAGAAGGAATATATATAAGTTTCAGTTTCCCCTATTCTGTTCCATTTTTAACACCTTACTGTTTATGGTTTCTGCAACAGGATTATCTGGATCTAGATGATGATAACTATCCTAATGGATCCACACATGCTGAAGGGAGCAGGAGGTTGGATAACTGTGTCATGGGGAGTACGACTGCAGCTGCTGAAGCTATGGAGAAGCCTTCTATTCTTTCTGAAGTTGAACCCATTTCAATTGCTGCATTCAATCAAAAACCTGATTTGAAAACATCTGATGGATCCACAGCTAGTGAAAAGAATGCTGGTGTTACTTTTCCGGTTGTAGAGATGTCCACTTCATCTGTGCAGTCAGCATTTGTGGCATCTCCATCTACTCTAACTGCCAGTAAAGATGCTGTCTCTTCGCACCCAAATGTTCCTTATATGCTTAGCATTGGGGAGAAAGTTCCGGCTGCAAAACAATCAAATGTTGCTGTTACTACATTTGGCTTTGCCTCTACAAATGCTGCTGAGGTTTCATCAGTTTCTGGATCTTCAGGTGTTAAGCTTGCCACAAGTTCAAACCAAAAATTAGAGAACTCAAGCAGGTTGGTAAATATCCGTTATTCAATTTCCTTACTTGGAAGGTTGTTTACCTTTGTCTTCTGTTCCCCTTTCTTTCTTTCTTTCTTTCTATACCTCCAATGCGGGCATTGTATGTAGAACTACTAATAATGGTTAAAAGTTGTAGACTAGTGATTAGTTGATTGAAAGGGAGTAAAAGCTTTAAAAGGCATGCCTACATGTTTCAGGGTTCTTATAAAAGGACTGGTTGGGTTTTTGGAGGTGAATCTAACCTTTGGCTGTAGAGTTTCTATTATCCAATTGAATGGAGTAGATTAGTAGTTAGTTGACTGACTGGGTTTATAAGGTTTCCCCTATCATGGTCCAGCTCTTATGAAAGATGAGAGGGTATTTTGGAGGTAAATCCAACCCTTGCTACCTCCCTCATTACATCACTAAATTCTTTAAATCCTCCTGATGATGCAGTGAACATTTACTGAGTTCTTTGTCAATATGTAATTCTGTAAATTCTCCACCTCCAGGTCCTCCACTATGAATTTGACTACTTAATTCTGTTAATCCACCTGATTATGGTTAATCCTACTGATTATGGTCTAGTGTACATTTGATGATTTCTTTTATGACCATCTTTTTATCCCCAAATTTGATTTTAATTATGATTTCATGTCAACAATGCATAAAACTCTTACGGTCTTCTTCACTGTCAAAGAAGGTAAAAGTTGTTTCTGTGCTAATATTTTTATCTTACATCTCCGCCCATCAGGTTGCTTTCTTTTACCTTCGAACTTGTAAATGGGTTTGGAAGAAAAAAGAGTGGGAGAACTTTCTTCATAGATTGATTAAAGCTTCTAATAACTGAATTTTATTGTTATAAATCTTATGTTGCCAATGATAGTTCACCACATTAGAATCCATTATATAGCTGACTTCCATGATGGTAGATTTAATTTGGGATTTATTTACTTTTTGGTCCATTGATAATTAGTTTGCATGGTGAGGTTCTCTGATATTATGCAACAGAAGTGTAAAAATTTCAATTTAGCGCCTAAACTATAAAAAACTCACAATTTAGTACTTAGAAGTCGTCATCTATCTGTTTGCACCCAAGACGTCAACTGTTAGTCAAATAAATGATGTCATAATCTTATTAGAGTATGTTGTCTGTTTGCACCCAAGCGTCAACTATTAGTCAAATAAATGATGGGTCATAATCTTATTGGAGTATGTTGCCCATTTGACTAACTGTAATGTCTAATGTATATCTAGTTTGTTTTGTTTTGTTTTTCATCCCTGGGGTACTCTTCTTAAAAAGCTTTGTTGCCTTATGTTCAGCTTTGCTACCGCTGCTCCTGGTACAACCAATAATTTGTCAGATAAAACTGAGAAGGAGAACAATCTGAATGAGATCTTCTGTAAGACACCTGAAGCTGCAATCACTCTTCTGTATCACTTCTACATCATCTGGAAGTATCTTCAAGTTTGGTGCCTCAAAAGATTTCTTCCTTAAATAATGGGTCTCTTGCTTCAAATCCTTTTCATTCTCTTCACCTGTGCCTTCTCTAGTCCCAAGTACTGATCAAAACATCCAGTGCAGCTGCCGCCAATAGTGATTCTTCTGCTGCTGCCATCACCTTTGCAAGTGCAACTGCAAATACCACATCAGCCGTACGGCAATCCCTCTGTGGAGTCTTCGATCCCTCACTTTACAGCTGCACCTGTTTTCAAGTTTTCTTCCTCTGCAGACCCTTCAACTTTAGTTTCAACATTAACAGCAACTTCAGGTGAAGCAACCGAATCTAAGACCAGGATACAAGCAATGGGAATGTAGGGATCTTTCCATTTGGTGGTACATCTGCTTTTACTAGTTCTGGAAGTAGTATTTTTGGTGGTACATCTGAAGTTAAAAGTGCTGCAAGCAGCACTACCGGCAACAGTTGAAGTCGCAAGCTCTGGAAATAGCAGTTTCAATAGTTTATCTTCCACCATTTCGAACTCCAGAAGTGGCTTTTTTAGCAGCACATTTTCCACAGTGACAAGCACAGGCAATAATATCTTCGGTGGTACGTCTGCAACTACCAGCACAGGCAATGATATCTTTGGTGGTACATCTGCAACTACAAGCTTAGGCTGTAGTACTTTTGGTGGTACATCTTCGGCAATAGCTGGTACAGGAAGCAGTATCTTTTCCAATAAATCTGCAATCATGAGCACTGGAAGCAACATCTTTGGATTCAGTGCCACAGCTGCATCTACATCTACATCTACATCTACTATCCAGACCCAGGGTTTAAATCCTTTCAATGCTGTTAGTACCCAAGTATCTGCTGTGGGAACTAGCATTGGTACCTCAACTCAAAGCATGCCCACTCAGTTTCTTCATCTGCTCTCCATCCTTTGGATTGGGGGGAATACAACCTTTTCCTCTGGCAGTTCAATGTTTGGGTCATCGGCATCCGTTGCTAAACCTTTTGGTTCAGGTGCTACTTTTGGAGTAAGTTCTTCCTCTTCAGAAACCAACCTCTGAGCTCTAGCAGTGGCATTGCTTCTGGCGCATTTGGATCAAATTGGCAAGCACCAAAGACCCATATTTGGCCCTTCATCATCAGGATTTGGCTTTGGATCATCATCTTCTGTTACTGCTCCTAGCAGTGCACCTTCAATCTTTGGGTCATCCACTGGTGCCTCCTCAGGTTCCATATTTTCATTCACTTCAGCTTCAGCTGCTACTCCTCACAGCATGCATTTGGTAATACTGGTCCTGGATTGGTGTTTGGGTCAACACCCTCTACTAATAATGATCAAATGGAAGATAGTATGGCTGAGGACACAGTTCAGACCTCACCAACTGTTCTGCCATTTGGTCAACAGCCAATCACACCACCTTCTTCTGGGTTTGTTTTCGGTGCATCAAATCCATCAGGAGGAGGCTCCTTTCATATTGGAAGCCAACCAAGCATCGCCGCACCACAGAATCCATCTCCATTCTGGCTTCTGGTAGTCTGGAATTTGGTGCTGGGGAGCTTCTCATTGGGTACCAGTGGTGGTGACAAATCTGGCAGAAAATCGTGAAGGTCCGCAGGCAGCGGAAGAAGTAATAAGATTTAATTACTTTAGTCAGCTCTTTCATTTGAGAGACCGATTGAATAATATTATTAAGGCTAATGAGAGGAGCTGCTGATTGTTGTTGTATGTGGTAGTTGTAACACCCTCAACCCGTATCCGACCCGGATACACGTCTGAAGTGTCACATTGATTTTTCTAACTTTAAACTTTTAACGAAAACCAATGAAATTTAAAGCTTTTATTAAAATAACATTGTCACTGTACACGAGCTAACCAAAACAAGACAAAACTAATCAGAGCATTTGTAACTACCGTTTTTCTCACATGCCAATACACTACATACAACAAAATACCTATTGTGACTTTACTTCTGATCTGATCGCTGAGTAGAGATAGGTTGATCTGCAAATTCCTATTCTTGATTCTCTTGCTCTTCGAAACCTACGTGTAAAAACACTTACACGTTAAGTCATAGACTTAGTGAGGCATAATTACATAATAAAGAATTACTAAAATATAAACAGGTCGTACTATCCAACACAATTATACTATCATACCATCATGTATTATACCACATATGAGCCAATATAAATCATAATAATATCATATAAGATACAATTATATACATCGTTTGTCTTATTTAAGCCCATATACACTATTGAGAACCCAAGGTATACGAGTATTATGAGGTTGTGCACACGTATTCTGTCACCACAGCTCATGATGTTCCGAAGGACCTATCCAAAGGCTAAAGATCCTCAGTAAAATCCAGAGGTCTAAAGATCCTCGGTAACTATTCAGAGGTCATAAGATCCTCGGTAACTATCCAGATGTCATAAAGATCGTCGGTAACTATCCAGAGTCATAAAGTCCTCGTAACTATCCAGAGGTCATAAAGATCCTCGGTAACTGTCCATAGGTCCCGAAGAACCTAGGTAAACTATCCATATGTTCTTTAGAACATAGGTATACTGTCCATATGTCTCGAAAACAAGGTAGTTCTTCGACTCTTGGCATACCAACTATACTTACAGTTCTCATAACTCATATCATGGCATTGTCTTTTACCTTATTACATATTCATACATCATATCACAATTTTCTTTTTCTATAGCTCTTATCACATGTTCATGATCATCTTATTACCTATACCTTTTCATATAACATACATACATACATACATACATGTCATCATTTATGTTTTTATCATACTCCTATAGTATTATCCTTCATCTCTTTTATCTCTTGTTCATTTTTCATCCAATAACTTATATAAATGTATATATCAGTATACTAGTTCCTAGGTCCCATCACACTAGCATATTTTCATATTTGTAATCACGTAGTTTTTTTTCATATAATTCATGTCACCCTCATATGATTTCATAATCATATTCTATATATTTCATATTCTTTTATGTCCTTTTCATACTCTTATTTCATATTCTTATGAAATCATATTGATCATTTAACTATTTCACATATTTAACAACATTTATCTACCTATTTACACAACTCATATAATATATATATACTGTAACATGTCAATATATGCTCATTCATACATATAAACCATAACAAACACATCACACACACTTCATATACCTAATATAGATATCTCGTAACTCATTCATATATAAGCTCTAATCTAGAAATAGACTTACCACAATCTGCATAGTATATCCCATAATGTATATGGTATGAATTCATTCATATTTAATATTGAATGAATCATGTATCAAGATATTAAATCTAGACTTATCGCAAGTCTAAAACTGAATATACTAACATAATCATGTTATGCACATGCACACCTTAGCCTTGTTTGAATTGAATCAATTCTAACCCTTTGATTATTTTGAAGCAAAGTCACGTTCAATATCTACATAAGCATAATTTTCAAGATGATTACAGATGCCTAAGTCTTGAAATTAACCTCTAATAGCCTACCAATTTAAGGGATTAATAGTTTAGTCTCTCTTCTTTCTTCTTCTTTTTTTTTCATTATGGGGGAATCGGTTCCCCCTGGGGGTATCGATTCCCCTCTAGCAGTCTGGAAATTCATATCGTTTGAGGGGGAATCGATTCCCTTGAATGGGTACCGATTCCCCTAGCCCAGAAATCTCATTTTTGAGCTCGAAAATCACCTTATTTCAGCTTAAACCTTCCTATTTCTCCTTTAATACTCCTAACTTAATACACATACTTAAACTTATTCTATTCCTTAATCACTTCTTTAACTTCAAATCTAGTCATTCCTATGTAATTGCAAAATTATACTAGTTTGCAACATGTTCAATTCCTATTCTAACACTTCCTATCCCTTAATTACTTGATGACAAGTCAAATTCAACTTCCAATTCTCAATATAAACTTTATTTCGATATTTCATTCAAAACTTCAAATCTTTAAATCCTCATAAACTCTTCATTTTGCTGTTTTAAAGCAAATTAATCTTTCCTTAATCTTACTTAGCATCTAATAATCAAAACTAAACTTAAATTTTAGCACATAATCAGCTCAAGAGAAAACTCACCTTTGCTTGGCTTCACACGTGAAGAAGAAGAAAAAGAAGGGAACTCTGGAAACCTCTAACTTTGTTTCCTTCCTTCCACATGTATCTATATATACCATATATTTATTATATTTTCTTTCTTTACAAATGACCATACTATCCTTTCATTCCTCATTCTTTTCAATTTGATCTTACACCTCATTTCTCATATAAGTCTTTAAACCACTCAATTATTCTAATTTAAATCACCAAATTTGAAACCTTACAATTTAGTCACTAACCTGGTATTGAGGATGTTACAAATCTCTCCTCCTTTTAAGAAAATTCGTCCTCGAATTTCCATTACACATATCGATAAGAACATATCTTTCAATGTTCTCATGCTCCTTTCTCTACTTTATCTCCTTTCTCTACTTTATCCCATTGCAATTTGTAATGAATGATTTGTTTTCACTTCCCAAATAACCCAATCCATTTCTAATTACCTTATAACCATACCCAATTCTTATTCCATCATTCTATAACTCAGAACATAACCCTAAACCTCTTCAAATGTTATTAAACGTATACTTACGAAATCAATCAATCTTTTCATAACATTATCTACCATTTCCTTACCCCCTATCAACTTATAATTCACACTTTACACCCCTTTTTCATTTAATTCCCTATATATACTCCTTTATAAATCACTATCTCCTTACTTATCCCTTGAGAAATATCTCCATTAGATTAACAGAGAATTAAATTCCCTGAATTCGAATGTATTCTAACATATCTTGTTTACTTTAGCACTGTACCTTAATGGAATTGTCACTACACTATTTCTAAAAAAATGACTTCTAACTAAATTCTCAATTCTCTACCCATTCTCTACTATATGGTTATACAAGCTCATATCAACTAATATCATAAAGTATTTACTGTACAATAGAAGATACCTGCTATTATCTCTGGATCCTCATTGTCTTCATGATATTGAGATTATATACTCTAGCGTAGAGCGCATTTCCTGTTGAGTAGAAAATTCTGTCTGACTTCTTCCTCTACCTTACCCCGTCCTCTCTGGGATATCGAAGCAGATCGCTCCGACTGCACAGGCTTTCCTGTCCCCAATGGACAATCTCTCATGAAATGTCCTATTCCCACATCGAAAACAGGCTCCAGATTCAACTCTACATGCCCCACCATGATATCTCTCACAAATCTGACAGTGTCTATGTTGTGCTCTCCATCACCAGACTTTCCTAATTGAGTCTGTCTAGCTCTCATCTGATTTGATCCTCTAGCAGAGGGATACCACTGATTCAGACCTTACATGGTATTGGAAACCCAGAATCTCTACTCTCTTGGGTGGTACAGAGCTCGACGAAGCCCCGTTCTTTTAGAAGATTGAGCTTTCTGATCCCCAAACCGCTCATTCTGAGCTCTTTCTAGAGCTTTAGCACGATTTACTACTTCCTGAAACAATGACAAGTTCAAAACAATCAAATCTCTTTTAGCCTTGGTCGTAGTCCAACAAACCACTCACATGCTTCTTTCTCTGTCCGAATCAATTCGGCCGCGAATCGACTTAACTTGTTGAATTCCCACTCATATTCATACACAGTGCGATTCAGCAGTTTCAAATTCAAGAATTCTTGCTTCATTTCCCTGATGAACTGATCTCCTATATACTTGTGCTTAAACTCTTCTAAAAACAAATACCATGTTTTCTGATCATTTGGCATCCTATGAATAACATTCGTCCACCAGATTCTCGCTTGCCCACGGAGCAAAGAGACCATCCCATCTAGTTTCTCCATAGAGCAGTGGAGTCCCTCTAACATGATCTTTACATCATTAAGCCAAAGGTCCGCAACAACAGGACCTTCTTCGGCTTCACCTTTGAACTCTGGAGCTCCTAATCCCTTTAACTCTTTGGCTATATTAATCCTCTGCGTTGAGGATGCAGGAGTTTGGAAACGTGACAAAATAGTGCCCAACGTCCTGAAGAATACATTTTGATCTTGTACAGGCACTCCAAAGGGTGCCTGTCCTTCACCTTGCCTGGCCAGGGCAGGTGAATTACTACTTTCAGCTAATATATCATCTCTCGCTTCACCCCGAGAGCTATCTTGTCCTGACATCTAATAAGAGATAATCAAATATTTCTATCAGCTAAACAACATACTCATTACTCGTATCAGATCAGAAGTTCTTACTACCATGTTGGCATGAACACTTTTTAAGACACTCTGGACTCCGGTTCATGCCGAGAATCGACTAAACCATAGCTCTGATACCATTAAATGTAACACCCTCAACCCGTATCCGACCCTGATACAAGTATGAGGTGTCACATTGACTTTTCTAACTTTAAACTTTTAACGAAAACCAATGAAATTTAAAGCTTTTATTAAAATAACATTGTCACTGTACACGAGTTAACCAAAACAAGACAAAACTAATCAGAGCATTTGTAACTACCGCTTTTCTTACATGCCAACACACTACATACAACAAAATACCTACTGTGACTTTACTTCTGATCTGATCGCTGAGTAGAGATAGGTCGATCTGCAAATTCCTATTCTTGATTCTCCTGCTCTTCGAAACCTACGTGTAAAAACACTTACACGCTAAGTCATAGACTTAGTGAGGCATAATTACATAATAAAGAATTACTAAAATATAAACAGGTCGTCTACTATCCAAACACAATTATACTATCATACCATCATGTATTATACCACATATGAGCCAATATAAATCATAATAATACCATATTAATACAATTATATACATCCTCGTTATGTATTATTTAAGCCCATATACACTATTGAGAACCCAAGGTATACGAGTATTATG